TGTTAGTATTTAAGTACTTAAAATATTATTTTACTTTGATAGTTAACAAAATTACAATGTCACACTTAAGTAAAACCTATTTACCCTTCCCTAGTACTGGATATATTAAGTGCATGTGTTGAAGATGTCTTAAAGAAAATTAGGAAGTTTAAATGAACTATTTTCACATTTGTCAAAATGTGCAAAAGTGTACTGTACATGCAATATTCACAAAGGTGTTTCCTGCTTTTCTGCTGATGTGCTCTTTTTGACAGAATTTCACAAATATATCGTGTTTATATTAGGCAAAAGAATAGATGTATTAATCTTATTAGCAATTATTTAAAATGACACAGCTTTTCACAATAGAGTAGGTAGTGGTTAAACACCGACAATACAGTATATTCCCTGTTTAATTTTACTTCATGATCTAGGTTGAGGTATGTCTTAGAATGAACCACATTTGGTCTAGAAAAAAATTACTGAGAACACAAAATAAGGCTGTTAGTCTGTATTCCGGTATAATGTCTTGTAATGTGCCTCCTTTAAACAAGCTGTGATGCTACTGACAGTAGATCAGCATGGAATCAGGTTACCCTCTCTGCTGGAAGGAAACTGAATGTCCAATCACCGAGGAAAGTGGCAGGCAGAGCTTTGGGATTTGATCTCACAATCTTCTAATGTGCCTACTGCTGAAGAATGGTGGTGTTCTAGAAATGTCTCACTTTTTCTTTATTGCAGTTGATTCAGTATTGCCTTGCAGAAGTCATCCTCACATTGCTGCTGGCTCCCATTTCTGTTTGCATAAACATGCGAGACCACAGGAGGCATAGTCTTCAGCAGCCATAAGGCATTTTAATTCATCTTATTTTCAAAACCTGATGTGGTATATTTAGGTGGCATCCTCTTATTTCCCAGTTATCAATAATATATTTTTAGTTTTAAATAATTGAATTCATGCACTTTAAAAACTGTTTTGGAACGTGTGCATTTGAAGGGGATTTTCTACGAATCAGCTTTCCTTCTAATTTTGTTTTGTTCTGTGCTGCAGCCATGTCTGTGGTGTTGTTTTGTACATACAGTAACACATTGTTAACAGAACTGTGATTTATTTCCATATTTGAAAGCAAACCACATTTCTCAGTGGTCTGAACTCTTTCAGTCCATGTCAGCAGGTCACATAAAGAACTCTGCTCTCTATGAAAGTTTCAGTTCAATTTATTCTCTTTTTCTCAATTTATAGAAGCTTAACATGTACATAATAGAATTGTTATTAAGATTTTTTTCATAATCACATCATTTGATTATTATCATTTGATCACATCAATATAACTTTATTGGCAGTATAAAATCCATGCTCAGTGATTCATTCTTTTATATTGCTCACATCTAACATCTTGACAAAGAATTTACAGAAAGTCTGAATTGTGATATGAATAGGTCCTTTCTGTTTTGTTGGTTCACAGAATAAAATATGTTTCTCATAGCTACATAAATTTGGTAAGGGCTAGAAACGAAACACTCATTTATAATCCAGTTAGCTAACATTCAATTAATTTCTTTCTTTCCTGTCAAAAATGATTTATATGATATAAGTGCTGTAGTGTACAGCCCCGAGGCTTGCTGGTAGCAATACATTTAATTGCTGCTAGAAAAGGAGGACATCTTTGCAGGTATAAATGGAAGCTCATATGAGGAAGGCTATAGGTAATATGAAAAGAGCTATGTTTCTATACTCCTTTTTTGGGTATTTTCTTTAGACCCAGTTAGCTACTAAAGACTGGCCAGGGAATTTCTTGATTTTGTAAATGATTGTTTTTGAGCTTTCAATGATATTTTGTTTATTTTAGGAAATGGAAAATAGCTTCGGACAGCGGCCTATTTCAAATGACAGTTTTACAACTCCACACTACAAAGCTCAGTTGAAGCAGTTTGCAGCAATTAATGGTGTTAACAGTTTTGCATAAATACTAGATATTCTAAATATAAGTTTCATCTGCGTTTCTCTTTGCAGGACTGCTGCTTAGACAGGAAACATTATATTGCATGGAAAACCTTAAGAGTATATTTCAAGCAAGAATCAGAACATGAGTATAAACTGGGAAATTCTTATTCTCAACTAATATATTAACCTCATTTTAGATATCAAATGTTCAATCCAATGTACAAAAACAATGGGTTGAGTATGAATCTAGTCACTGTGACTGTCAAATATTGCTAAAAAACAATGTTATTTTGTTCCATTGTCACTTCAAAGTGTTCACATTTAATGGTCAATGTAACTATTTAGTACCACACTTAAAAATGTTTTAAATGCAGACATTAGAAAAGTTATATCTTGAGAAGACTACTTTAGTTAATTCCCAGAGGCATCGATTGGCCCCATATTAATCATACTTGATCAGAGTGCCTTGAACCATTATTACTTGCCTTTAAATTGCCGTGTATTTGAAATCAATGAAACTCCCTACTAATTTCTTATAAGGCTGATAGTTTTTAAAACATTTGGAGCATGTTTTAAAAGTGAGTGCTAGAAACACACAATGTTTGGCCCATATCTTATTTCCCAAATGTGTTAAAAGTTCTTACAGAAATCTGCCCAGGCTTTGAAGCAGACAGGTGTTTTCCTTTAGTTGCTGAAACGGCTGTGTTGGATTTACTGACAGGTTAGTGGGTTATCATCTTTAGAATTAAACTTCAATCAGCCTGTGCCATTTGCAGCTTCTGTTCTTAGTGTTTGCGATGATGGGAATCAGAGCTGTGTGGAGGTATGAGCTGATCACGATGTGAATGTAGACTACTAAGTGATAAGAATCAACAGAGTGGTCATGACCTTAGACAATGTGTTGGGAATGAAGGCTTCCACTAGCAGACTTTAAAGGGCCCTCAGAACTGTTAAGGGGATGAGAAAGTGGATTTTTTTTCTTTCTGATAAAGAAATTAAATGTTTAAGTTCAATGCTAAAGGGAAGGTGATGATGATTACAAATGAACTATATGTGCTTTATTACTCTAGGTGGTATTAATGAATTGCGGGTGTATTACTGGAATTCTTTTTGTATTTACGTGTTTAATTATCCAGATAAATTGAAAATGCTGATTAATATAGTGGAACTTTATCTCTGTTGGTAGATTACCCTTTAAAGCAGCTGGCATTTTCTTCTTGGTAAGAGGTCTATGGTATATTCCTTATGCTGTATTTGTCTGAACTCCCATTACTGCAAGTGGTGCAGTACAGTACTTTAATCTAAAGCCAGAGATTAGTTATTACATCTATTTGCATAGAACAGCATCCTTTGGCACATTCTAGGGTTTTTGATTATAATATAAAGGTACAAATGTCTAATTTTCTGGAGAAGTCACTAAGAGAATTACATTGTAGCCTGGAGAGCTTAACTGGTTTGCTCAATATGAACTCATTCAAACTTATTAAGAATTATTATATATATATAATTTTAGATTATTAATACAACCAAGAGCAGGTAGCACTTCTTTAACCCAAGAATTGTTACAGAATGGAGCTAGTCAGTCATCCAGTCATTGAAGCTGATAGCTTCTTGCTTCACTTAGCAACTAAATACTAGGTGGGCTAGATTGGCTAAATGACTTGCTCTCAATTGTAACTCTATCCATCTGTTCACTTTCTAACCACTTTATTCAATACAGAGTTGTGGGGGAGCCAGGGCCTGTCCCAGCAACCAATGGGCGCAAGGCCCTGGATGGGACGCCAGTCCATTACCAGGGCCAATTTTCTAGGAAGCCAATTATATTACCCCTATGTGTTTGGACAGTGGGTGGGGACCGGAGCACCTGAAGGAAACGCACATACACAAAGGGAAAACATACACACAGATAGCACCCTAAGAACTGAACCCCAGCGCTGCAAGGCGTCAATGCTAACAACTGCCCCACCGTGCTGACCGCTTGTAACTCTTCATCTTCTATTTTGTACATGCATAATGATTAGATTATACAGGATATCAATAGTATAGGTATTATTGACCATTATGTTCAAGTAACCTCCTATCTACGATGTCTGAGTGTATGCGCACGTTTTACTCTGTACTTAACATAATTGATTTACTCGTTTCAGGTCCCAGTTAAAACTAAGACACATTAGACGCGTTCCTCCATCAGCTTAAAGCAGAAATCAGAGATGTAAAGCATAGCTCCTGTTGCTCTCTGATGAAAGTCACCCCCTGTGGAGTATGTGTTCTGGAACTGTGTGAATAATGCTTTATGTATGAGTCTAACACTTGAGCATTTAGCTCATATTAGGTTGGTTATTTTAAGAGTTGAGGGGTTAGGGTGGGGCTGCGCGTTCATGAATGCTCAGTGGTTACACCCAGAGGACAATAACTAATTATATTAAGAATAGGTTAGTCAGAATACTTCATTCAAATATCAGAGACGTCTCATAAGGGGCAGAAGGGTAGGCGAATCTGTTCAACCCGAATTTAACAGGTCCACCGTCTAGAAATGTGTTTTATGTTGCGCGATCGATACAGGAAACCGGTGCAAAATAGTTGATGTTTAGTATATTTTGAATGACACATTTTCTTGGTAATTGTTCGTGCTGTGTAGTCATTGTTCCCCTTTAAACACGGATGATTTATATTGTTTAATACTGTTGAATGCCTTTCGAAACGATATTTCTAATGTTAATACATCACAATAAAATCAAAACTCGGCCAGCACGACCAATAAAAACGAAACCGCGTTTAAGAAACAAGGTCCTTTTAAGAACAAGGTTGCCAGATACAAGACAAGGCTCATCTATAGCCCAATTTGGTGTTAAGCTGCTAATTGTAATATGAATGCCAACCCTGTGAGAAATAAAACGTTTCATTTTCGATTATTCACGAATACTGTAACTGCATCTTCGCAGGCGTTCCCTTAACTACACGCAGCACCCGATCGCAGCTCTACGGAATTTGTGGAATGCCTGCCAGAATATACTAAGAGCTGCAAGCGGAGGGTGGGGGACTACTATGCAACACATTTCAGGACGTAGCAGTGGGTTTTGTGTGTTGCAGGAGGTTTCAAGATCACCGGCTTGCTTAAAGTAACCACGAGAGTGACAAATAAGCTTCGCATACTGTGAAAAAAATTGTTCTGGGGCAGATCGGTTTGTTTTTGGTCGTTCCCTATCCAATATAACCGAGTGGTTTCGTCCTTCCCAGTAGGTGGATCTGTGCAGCAGGGAACTGAACCGAGATCAATGAACTCTGTTAAATAAACTGGTTGGGAAATCAAAGTTGAGGCAGATTCGCTATACACCGTAACAGAAACTGGGACGCTGCGTATTACAGTGGCTACTCCGTGTGATAGCGACAAGGATTATTGGGTTCCGCATAATCCTTAACTCTATCTGGTATAGAGTGTAATTAAATAACTTTCTGCCGGGTTTACCTTTGGATACAAATAAATCAAACATCTGCGCAACGGGGGCAACTCGAAATTAAGGGATGATCTTTGCAAATACAGCCAACCCAGTGAGGACGACATATCGTAAGCAGGTGGGCCTGAGATAAATGTTTAAGAATTATTATAGTATACCTGTACACGCGTTCTTTAGGCTTGTTTTTAAGGTGCCGGCGGTTGTGTTATTTTATCCGTGCTGTAACTGAGATCTTGTATCTAAACACGCACATTATCCCGAAACTCCGCAGCCATGGAGGTGATAAGTCAGATGCTGGCAGTGGAGGGCAGTTATTTACTGCTGCTGATAAAATGTATCTCAATATGGGGGTCAGATATCGGTGATCTACAGTAAGTCTTACGAAATGTACACCAGAATGTGCCCGCTTTTGCAGTATTTTTAAAGTAGTTATAATTGCGAGCCAGGAAGGCATTTCTGTAGTTACTTTCATTAGGAAGTTGGTATAACAAATAATTCTTAAAGTACAGAAGTAGATTAGGTGGAGACACTGGGTAGCCTAACACCAAGAAAGCCATTGTAATATCGACCAGGTCGTTAAGTTATTTTGGGATTTCCTGGTGAATGCCATTGAAAAACTATTTCTATATATGTTTCCTAATAGGTATTATTGACCAGGACACGGAATCTATACTGTCGGTCGGTAAATCTACTATAGCTTAGAGAGGGGAAAAGTTTATTGTAGTGGTCTGTACTGTATGTGTCAGCATCTTGCAGTACAGAACAGTCCTTTTACAAAGTGAGTATGGAGTCTGTGTGATAGTGAACCACACAAGCTTTGCTGCTCAGCTGCTGTTTCTGTTTTTCATTCACCGATCTTGTTTGGAAAACAGAACTAGCTTAGGCCTTTAATATTTGGCTATATGAGCACTCCTAAGTGCACACACGTGTTGTTTCCAGAAATGTTCAATCTATTGACAGAAACGCATCTGAATACAAATTAATACGTGGGCTAAATTCAGATCACTGAAAGAAAATCGGTGACCTTGTCATAATATAATGAAAAGTGGCATAACGGAAAGAATCCTGCTCTTATATTTGTCATTTGATTTTATTTCCTCTTCAAACATTTGAAATGTGCCATATTTTATAATTACTTGTGACAACTTTTAAAAAAAGTGCTTTGTACTTCCTAAGTAATTTTCCAGTTAAATTTTTTTAACTTGGACCAGATGTTTTAGAAGTTGAAATGTCAAGTCTTTTTTTTTGTCTCTATTTTTTTTTGTCAAAGGCTGCCACAGTATGTAACACTTCAGGGGTCTTGCGTGTTCATTTGCTTGGTGGCAAAGCTCTACGGGTGTTAGCAGTGAAATGAGAAAAAGCTCTCAGGGCGAGGCCTTTTACTGGAAGCACTGTGTGTTTGGAGTGCGGATATGGCTCTTGCTTCTGATCTGCAGCCGACTGATAAGATGTACTCTTTTCTAGCCTTAAACTTCTCAGACTTTAGGGGGGTTAATAGGTCCGCAGAACCAGGAAAACAAATAGGCTTTCAGTCCCTGAAAGGGTTTCGGAAACCGTAAATGTGTGGGTACTAGAGGGACACAAAATTTAGGGCACCACTGGCATCTGTCTCAAAGGTTCCCTTTGTCCACATATAGCCATCAGTTAGCCAGACACTTCCTACAGAGTCGTCTGTCCACCAATGGGGTGGTCAGATGATTCACATTGGTTTCTCAGAAGGGATCCAGTTTGCAGTCTTAACAAGTGATGTCATAAGATCTAAAACAGATACAGTGTGTTCTGTTCTTTTCAAAAGCAGCAGCCTACATTATGTGCCTAAGTTTAACACACATGAAACAGTTTGGTCAAAGATAAATTATAACCTTATCGTTTAGGGAAAAACAGGAACTTCCTTGTGTTTCTCTGCCTACCATAATTTAAATGATGATTATGATCTAATAGTAAAATTGAAGGTGCATTATGAAATCCAAATCCTTAGAATGTTTCTGTGCTTCTTAAGCTAATTGTCATTTAAACTTTAATATATGCCTATTCGGCATAGGTTATACTGAAAGGAGATTCAGCTATCAAATAAGTAAATTCCAGTTAATAATTAAACTGATTTCTTTATTTGATCTTTTCCACACAAAAAAAACATTTAATGTTTTGAGGTCTTTCTTGATGTACTGTAGTCCTGTAAAACTGTTTATCATATTATTTGTTTGCAAAACCTAGAAAAACAAGTTTATTGTGCACATTACCTGGATATCAAGAATAAGAAATTGAATTGTTCAAACTAACATGTTAAAATTACTAGAATAAGATTTATGTGTTATTTATACATGAATATACTGTATGTATGAATGCTGGAAAGGACAATGATTTTTGTTTCTGAATATTGTCATCAAAATACATTGTTCTTTTTTTCTTTTTCTGTTTGTGTGTGGTATTGTTTAATTCAGAATGAGCAAAACACAACAAAATGAATTAAAAATGTATATGCAGGAAAGCTATGTTTTCTGTTAGAACTTCTAATCAATGGCACTATTTGCAGGAGAGGTTGAAGACTGAATTTCACCCTCCTTTTCTCACTGTCACTAAAGATCATGTTTTGGATTTGTTTTAGAACTTCATGCCAATGGTTTTCAATCATCTCGCACTGTTATTGGAGACATGTCACACTTGACCTTTTATCTCTTTCGCAGCTGTTCAAAGTTTGAATCATACATGTTCATTGAGTTGTTGGGGACTGTAATATATTACCTTATTTAGGTCTTCATTGACGGATGAGCCTTTTGTTTCTGGGGTTAAATTAAATTATATTTCCAGATTCTGACCATGTTAAGTGAGCAATGCGTAACTGTTATGGAATATAGAAAAAAAATAAATTTGATTGCTTATGTGTCAAAATTCAAAATGTATTTTTGCACAAACCAATTTATAGCACTGCCTCAGATTTTCAAGGACTCGTGATTTGGATTAAAGATGATGAATTCATTTAGGGGTCTTATTCCAAGTCACATCAGTTAATGAAGGCATTCGGCAGTGCAAGTGGGTCTTGGGATAGTGGTAAATCAATCAAGAAGGAGAGGGAAGTCTGTTTTTTTTTCCTTCCAGTTATCTTTTAGCATATCGCTTTTTTGTCTGCATAAGTGAAAGTATTGAGAAAATGGCATAAGAGTGGCTACACAGTCTGACTTTATTGCCATTGAATTGTTCATTTAGCCTGGATAGACCAGGTCTGTGTTTTTTGTATGTGAAGTTCGTGATCATGTGTGCTGCTCATGCTGATGTGTAAATGTCAATTATTGTGCATTGAGCTCTCTATGTTCTTAAATGACTTCTATCCATCCGTTATCAGAAAGCCTCTTGTCCTAGTGAGGGTTGTGACAACCCTGATCCGAATCTAGAAACCTGCTTTGCAAGGTGGGACTGAGAACCCCTGTTTGCTCTTGCGCTGATCACAACACCTCTCTGTCGCAAGGCCCTGGAAAAACGGTTCTTTTGGGACAAAAGCACATTAAATCTAGCCAGCCTGTCCTTTTAAAGTGAGAGGAAATGTGTGCAAATAGAGAGCACCATGCAAGCTCCACACAGAATCATTACCTTTTAGTCCAGTATTTGATCTAGAGTATAACCACTTGAGTATGGTACATTTATTAAAAACCCCTATGTATATCCTTATGGATTCAAGACCCTTGTGTTATGATGTAGGTTGCTGTTATTAACCCCATTTTGTTTTAAACCTCTCAAATTGGGTATTTTTTAAGTTGCTTTCAAAGTAGATTTGTGGTTTATATGCTGATTTTTTATTCATTGTTGTATTGCAGTCAAAATGGTGGGTTTGCATGCTGGCTTGGTGGTGGTGGCAGAGGTCCTGTGTCATGTTTGATTCTGGCCTTTTGGCTCCTGTTTGTGTGGCGTTTGCACATTCTCCCTGTGCTTGAGGGGTGGAGTCGCAGTATTCTCCAGCTTCCCAAAGACTTGCAGGTTAGGTTTGCCTGACTACTCTGAATTGTCCTCAGGGCTTTGTCCTCATGAGGAAGGTGACAGGGCTTTCCTCCAGTTTAATTTAGTACAGTTTACCCTGGAGTGAAGTGACTTTGTTTCTTCTTTTCCATAGTTCTAGTTTGGAAGTAAAATATAGTAGATGTTAATGGTATTTCTGACATTGTTTTGTATATTTATATATTTGGTTTTGAGTCAGTCGCACTTCCATATAATGAATCTTGGTCTTTAGTGTTTAGTCTGAAATTGCACATAAAATGTAACCCCCATGGCGCACTCCCAAATTTATACCAGTCAGGAAATGTTTTTGGAACCTCAAATATTTTCTAACTCCTTCTTCAGAGCTCTGATCAATGATAATTTACTTTAAGCTGAAAAATGACTACCTTTAAAAGTTTACCTTGAAAGAAGAAAACTCAGAAACGACTTTTAAGCTGTGTGTGAAATTTGGAAGTCTCCAATACTGCATTTGCTTTGTTTGTAAATTTAACACTTATCCTGAGTTTTACCTTAGCACACAACCCAGTTGGGGTCAATTTGATCCATCTCATTTGTAATGAATAATCAATTCAGTTCACTTTTGTAAGCCTCGGTGACATGCAGATTTTGTAGGTCTGAGACATTTGCTTTATAAAGAGATCTGAATTAATGTGGATTCTGTAAGAGTGTTTTTCAAACTGGTGAGTGCTAAGTAAGAAAGACATCACACTTGAAAATGCCTTTCCATTTTAGATGCTCTTTTCTAGATCGTCTTCCTGTTTTGCTGCTTCTTTTGTAAGCCAGTTAGAAGACAATATTTTTTTTGCTGTACTCTTTCAAAATCAAATACAAATAAAATCAAATATAGATCAAAGTAAGTTACTGCTCTGCTGTTTCACACATTCTCATAACTTTTATTGCTTTAGTCTTCGTTAATGTAAGGAAAGTGGAGATTGTTTTAAATGCCAAACAAATCTTTCACTTTCTGCTACGGTTCTTATCAAGCCATAAACATAAAAAAATCTTTGCGATCATAATATCCATCCATTTTTATGATTACTTCTTCGTGGCGTGGGGGAGCCAGAGCCTATCCCAGCAAGCAGTGGACACAAGGCAGGGTAAATCCTGGATGGGACACCAGTCCATTGCAGAGTGCGCACGCACACACACACACACACACACACACACACCAGGGTGAATTTTCCCTGAAACCAGTTTGTCTTTGGACTGTGGAAGGAAACTGGAGCACCTGTTGGAAACCTATGCAAACACAGGGAGAACATCCAAACTCCGTACAGAGAGCCCCTCTAGGTCTGTAATTGAACCCAGGCCCCCAGGACTGTGAGGCAGCTGTGCTAACCACTGCGCCACCATGCCGCCCATGAGCATGATATCACGTAACCCTAAGTACAGTGTATTAAAAGATTCATCATTTTTAGAGATGCTGTAACCATCCATCATATGGATGAGCTTCTCTCCACATGCTTTTGGCTTCCATCAAACTCTTGGTTATAGAGATTTCCTGAGTCTCGGTTTTCAAAGAGTTTTCGAAGTTTTGAATCCTAAGTAATAACCTATTGGGTCTCTATGCTGTTAATATTGGCATTTATTGCAAATCTCGCCAAAAGCAGTTCTCTTAAAAGAGAATACCAGATGTACTTGTGCTCTTTTATGAATGAGTAAAAGGAAGGAAATGGTATACCACTGTGGGCTGATCTATGGCTTGCTTAAAACAAGTCGAGGGCGTTTTAGCTGAGCTTTGCCTCACTTTAAGGTTCAGGTCATGGTTTTTTTTCCCTATTTGGAAATTATTGACAAAGTTTGTAACGTTAACTTCATTAAAAAAATACCGTGGCAAAACATATTATGAAAAACATTTTATACATTAAAATGACATTTTACATTTGTATGAATCAATTTTAACAAATGCAGTTTTTGAAAATGAATTCTTTACTGCCCTACGATTGTTAAAATTCAATTTCTTGAAAAAAAATAGAGGGGTAGTGGATGTGAACTAATCTATTTTACATGTTCTAACAAATATCAGTACTACATATTGTATCTCACAGATGTATTGCATTCAGCTGGATTCAATAGATAGCACAGGCTATGCATTGAATAACCCAAGCAGGATCATATTAGTCTTGCCTCCTTTCATATAAAATCCACTATATGACGATTTCATCCATGAAGAACACCATGTTTACAACTCAAGGGAACAGAATGCCACCCAGACACCCTTGAAATGTATTCTTCTCTAAAACTTAATACAGGGTTATCTGTTTTTTTGTGTGCAAGATTTGAATATGCTGGCAAAAGGTTATGCATGTCACAGAAATAACATCCCATGGCATTAAACAAAGACTATGGTAATCCAGGATCTGAAGCAGCAAACATTTCAAAAACACAAGGTTAACTTTGTTCTAGTACTGGTGATGGCATGTGAGCTTTGGAAGCTGATCTTAAAGTTGGACTGCCTCCAATTGAAGATTGCCAAATTCTGTCACCACTCTGTGCTTCGCATTCCATGAACTTCCCCTGCTGTGTTCTTAAGAGTGATCGGAGCCTTGGGTAAAAGATTTAGGTAACAAGTTTTAAACATAATCATGTTTTTCAGTTCAAACTGAACTAAAGCAATTGCTCAATTATTCAACATTCGTTTCAGTTACAGTTTCTAGAATATGCTGGGTTTACCATCAAAGCTTTTTTTTTTGTTTGACATTTGTTTTTTTCATAGTAGTTGAGGTGGGTAGCTGCGTCAGCATGTGTAGTCTGCAAAGGAACAAGTAATAGGTTTATTCTATGCTGAAAACACAACGTTTCGGCTGTGAAGACTTCTTCAGGTGAGAAAGACAGGGCAGAAGGCAAAGATTAAATAGCACTGAAGAACAAAAGTTGGGAGAGGGGAGGGGGTGGAGAGGCAAAGAGGTCACTCAGGAAGTGCAAATTTGTTTTTTTTTGTGTAATAGAAGATGTCATTGCTAGTCAAGATCATGCGATAAATGACATATACATCTGGTACCTTCTTTAGAAGCACACAGCAAAAGATTGCGTTACGTCTTGAGCTGTGGTTGATGAGGCTACGATGAAGTACACGTCTAAATATATATTTCCTTCCAAAGGATGATCATGTGACAGATTAGACTACATTTTTCAAACATTCCAGCCCAAGTTATTACGCGGAAGATGTAAAACATTACAATTAAAATGAAGATTTTTTTTAGAAATGAATGTTTGTTTACAGTTGAGTTTGGAAGTTAGATTGAATATATGGAATGAAGTCTCTTCTTATAATGCATCTTAAATTTGATTACACGTAACTATTGCAAAGGAGGAAATGGGTTTATTTTTATCCGTGTGGTTTGCTTAAAGAAAAGAAGCAATTGAAAATTTCACTGCACTTGCATCTGAGTCAGCACTGGCTTTGGGCTTATTGTTTGATGAGATCTATGTCCTTGTATATAGTCAGACTCTCAAAACCTTGTTTTTATGATGTGTTGCATTTTGATATCAGTCTTGAAATTTGCCTTTGTAATTTGGCATCAGCACCTTCTTGGCAGTTGTTGATTTTACGTGTGAGTGATTCCCTCCTGTAAGTGCCATAAGGCAGTAAGTTGCACTGCATGGGAAATCGAACTTGACTTGTTAGCTCAGCAGTCACTGGAAGGTGTGAGGATTGCCATCTCACACAGTCTTTGAGTGTCACATTGGTGTTGTGTTGCAGCTCTGTTTCCCTTTTGAATTCCAGTGTGCTTTCTAGCAAATGCTGAATACCATGATATCCGTGCATTGCATTAACACACAGACTGTTTTTAGTAAAGTTTTCTGCGTCAATGACCAATAAGGTCAGTATAGGAGGTATCAATGAATCAGCAGTTTTCACTTACAACATCCACGAGTTGTACACAACACTAGCCTTTTTGCTCAATTGACCCATGATCCAGAGGTCAATGTCACTAATACTTTCTTTCTCTTCCTCTGCAGCAACCTGTTGCTCCCTCTTCGCACCCTATGGCGCCGCCCAGTCCCAGTACTAACAGCAGCACCAACAACAGTAGTAGCAGCAGCAGTGCAGGATGGGAGCAGCTCAGCAAAACCAATCTTTATATTCGAGGACTGCCTCCAGCAACAACAGATCAGGACCTGGTCAAACTCTGCCAACCGTGAGTTGACGTAGCTTCTCCTAAAACTATATGAGCAAGAAGAAATAAAGATCACTGCAGCATGACTGCTGGAAAGTTCATTTGCTTTTCCTGTCCATAGATCCAGTCATAATCTAGACATCTAATGGATCATATGTGATGACATGTTTAGAGTATGATACTGCTATATATATAAACACAGGACATTTGCCCGCATTTTTTTACAGACAATGAAGCTGCCTAGCGTAGGTTTCATATACTGTATATATATATACACATCTCTGCATGAAGAGTTAAGAATTGAAGTAAATGATGGTGTCATGCATGGTCCTGGAAAATCTGATGGCATTACATTTTAATTTAAAATGACAAATGAAATGTTGGTAGCAGCAAGGACAAACTAGAACCTAATAAAAACTGGCAGTTCTGGCATTGATGCTGGGTTTTGGTATGTGTTTGTTCTCCCAGAACTGCTTGCTATAAGTAATAGATGCAGGCTGGCTGCTACTTAAGCTACTTTTGCTACTGTATACCAGTCTAGTATAAAAGGACCACTAAGGTGACTTTGAAATCTCATTTTCCTGTCATGAAATCCCCCCCATGCACAATGTGAAGCTGACTTTGCAGCACATTCGCTCTTCTAGAATCTGCTGTCGCATCCTTATTGTGTGTGAGGTGTCTTTGTCTGGAGCGCACAGCTCTGTAGGCAAATAAATTCCCTTTGTCTTTTTAGGTAAGCTCATAGCAGATACAGCAGTTGTAGCTGTATGAACCTTTTCAATTGGGTAATATTATGAAGTTACCTAAATCGATGTTTTATACATTTTAGCCTGGAAGAAATGTTAGGCTATGTATTGCAGTAGTAAGGGTATTTTTAGTTTGCATCACCTGTATCATTCACAACATAGATCTGCACTGAATTTAATTTTATCTGAACAAAAATGTATGGCTGTTAAAGTTTAATGCTCTGGAGTTGAGCACTGTACAGTAATTCTGATAGGTGTACAAAAAGGTTTGCAACTAAAAAAAATCCAACTATTTCCTATGCTGGCCATGAAATCAAAATGAAAACATAATTTCTTCATTTTACACTACCCCTGTATCAAATATAACAAAATAACTGAATTTCAATATAACTATTTTAAGTTTATTTTCAACAGCAAGTATGGTGAGAAACTGAAGTAACTTTGCTTTGGGGCCTCAGAGAGATTATATTTAATGGAATGGTCATTTATATTGTAGATTTATTGTTGGATTTGGTTGGCTGACACCCTCATCTAGGGAGACTTAGTTTTATATTGACTAACTAGAAAGCAAAATATAGATGTGATTACAAGAAAGTACAATAAAATGAATTCAATTATGGAATGGCAATAAAATTACAATAAGGCATGCACAATGAGGTTCGATAGTGTAACGCTTGCAATCTACAACAAAATAAATCGTGTTTCTGTAATGAAAAGCCTTGCCATTCTTTTGGAGAGAACTATGCATGTTCTGTATGGCAGTACATTGAATTTATGTAACTTAGGTTTAATTAACTCGCTCAACTGAAGTGCAGTTGAAGAACAACATGAATTCTGTTCTTTTTTTGTCCAATGGATGACAAACAAATCTCAGGGTTTTTTTCCAGCATTATGGATATTTGTAGTAGGCCACTATGACTACATTTTCCCAACTTATGGCACTCAACTGGCAGAGCATGGCTGGGGTAGGGTATGTTAAGGGCTCTCAGCTTTTCAGCACACAGCGACTCCTCTAACTTGCCAGCTACCCATGGGTTAGTGGTGACTTTAGTGACGGACACACTGCTCTTCCAGTTAGCACTAACTTTCCTGTTGACACTGCAGAGCTTGTAGTGTGATAAATGATGATGGCAGCACAGAAGGATGTTAGAGGAGCATGTTCACATGTCTCATTCTCTCATTGCTAGAGAGCTGAGCCTTAAAATCATTGCCCATTCGAAATGTAATTGGTATGTAATATTTACTTATTCCAAAATTAAAATCAACAGACGAGTTTAACACTTAATATGCAAATCAAATTTTATGAACCTTGAATAAAAATGATAGATATGTTTTATGGAGTATGCTATATAATTTATTTAAAGAATTGGATAGATGTGTAGATATAAATATTGGGTTGTTTTCTCATTGTACATTTTAAATTTTAGAATGACTTTAGACATTTAATTGCATATCCTTGATAATTAGTGATCAGTGATCAGTGTTTTTTTTTCATATTTTCATTTTTCGAATATGTTTAATGTGTGGGAATAACAAGCTGAGCCACAATATTGTTAAAAGAGCTGATGCCTGCCTAAAGATATAGAATGAAAGACTATATACAGAGTGCACACATCAGCTCTGTGTGCTTTACAGAAATGCCCCCTGCTGTGTTTTGCAAGGGTAACTGTACCATTCATTAACAAAACGTTCCCAGAACCTAATCAAAGGGATTCTGGAGTGCAAGTGTAAATACAACTATTTTGAAAGACTGGTATACTTTCCAAACTGTTAGAGTGGGCAGTCATTCTGTGTGTGCTGCAGAAGTTAATTCCATGCTGAAAAGCAGAAAGAGAAAACAATAAAATGTGTAATTAACTTCTAGTTAAGCTAGGCTGACTAATCCTTTAGGAGATCCCATATTTCACAATTTTGTTTTTCCACCCCAGCTAGGGAATATTAATCAGTTAATGATTAAAAGATCAAAGCCTGTTGCTGTCATCAGCCAGTTAATTGTTAATCAATTAGAACGCCTTGCTTTGAATAAACACAAAACATTAATCATGCATACAGTAAAAGGAGGCATTCATTGTTTTAACCATCATGGGTACATTTTGTCTGAAGTGACGATGGTTAAATCTTGTCCCTTTTTTCCCCCCAAGTTCAAGCACCCAGTATAGCCAAGGATTACAAAGAACAGATTGTTTCTGGTGTGACACATTCCATGCATGATAATTTTGAAGGCAAGTTGGATTTAAAAAAAAAGCCAAGCCAACTGATAACAGATTCACACATTATTGACTTTGCAAGCCAGTGTAAACACAGCAAAGGATAAAAGCATTGTGGGCATATTTGATTAGCACCCATATTTTGCAATCTATATGTGCTTTATCTCCATCTCAATATTGCAGTATCTCAACCTGTACAATTTACTAAATGAGTTCCTTTCACAATTGTATAATATTTATGCTTATGAATGTTGAGAGTGGCAAAGTATTTGCAATGTATTTCAAGGTTTGCTAGGTGTCTTGAAAGCACCAGCATCTAAAGAGCAGCCAGAAGCTGTTGAATTGGTCCAGTTAAGCTAATAAAGAGCTGATGTAGGGTGTTGAACTAAATAGAACTGAAAACCTGCTGACATGCTGGTCCTCCATTATATGGCTCGTACACTGTGAAAGCAGTGAATGAGACCTGAAATGTGTTTCACTGTTAATGGGACTGTATAACTTATAAGACAAATAAGACTAATTCATTAATAATATTGATGCTGTGGCTTTATATATACTATGATTATTTTGAAATGATAGATACTTTATTGATCCCGTGAGGGAAATTGCAGTGTACAGAAAATGTGAAAAACCCAGTATTTTGACTTGCTTTGGAGTTTGGCAAATATTACAAAACAGACTTGTAATTTATAACAGTTTACAAAAAAAGTATAAGAACTACCAGACATTTGATAATGAAATGCATTTTGCAAGTACATGAAATAAGGATGACCTTTTTTGCCCGGACTAGCCTCTGGCTTTGCAGAATTGCTTTCTGATGGCCTGCACATAGACATTCAATCTGATTAGCAACAGAAAAGCAGTGGCTTTCAGAAGCTCTAAAGTAACAGTATTCCCACTACAGTTGCATTCAGAAACTGGCTTTCCACTGCACAATGTAACCTGCTAGTATAATTATCGGATTCTTCAATGGTCTGCATTAACCCTTCTTTTTATTATTAAAGTGATAATCAAAATAGGTCGTTTGTTTAGAATGCAAATGTTAAAAATACATTTTTTTTTTCATTTTAGATATATTTTCCTCTGCTGTCTGTGTACTAACTTACAGGTGATGGCTGTCTTGCAGTTAGCTGTTAATGGTCTAAACAAACTATAATTTCACATATAATGTTAATTTCATGAGTATTCAAATATTACTGGAGTTTTCTCATGTGGTCTGTCTCATTGCTTTGTAGGGTTTTCCAATTTTACGGTGGTTAAAAGACATTTAGAAAAGCACTCTTGCAACTGTGTTTATGGGCGCCTTCAAAGTCTACCATTTATTTAGATTTCTGATTCAGATCATGGCCAAATCCAGAAGATGGGCTGTGTTCCAAAATCATTACTTTTCCTTAAACAGCCCTTCAAGGAATACCATCAGGTATTGCTGTTGAAGATATAGTAAGGGCGTAACAGTTGTATTTAAATGCTAGCTGTTTCAATCATGTAATATGTTATTTTGTTTGTGTTTTAATGGGGTGCCTAGTCAGCGAACTTCGTCTTCATTTTCTGAACATATGAAAAGAGTCCATTGATCATGTTTGCGTCTATATAATGTGGAAATGCTTTGCTTTCTCCATTTAAGTAAACTTTTTTTTAATGTGGTGTTTCCTTTGAATACTACCTTTACAACTGAGGTAGTGAAATGCCTCTGAGCCAAACTGACATACAGTCACATTATATGCGGTTATTTTTTTGTTGGTGCTGCCCTGTGAGAGATTGTGGAGTGCCCAGAATCAAGTGGATGCTTCACCCCGTTTTATAATTCAATTCCACTATTTGCCGTTCAGGTCAGAATATCCTCTAATGGTGTCCACGGAAATCAATAACCATGCAGCAAATAGTAACAAGAGCCCTGATCGGCAACCGTAATCTGATAAGGTTTGAAAAGGAAAGGTGGGTGAAATGAGAAGCCATTGTTCACCCGCTGGGTCTTGCAGAAATGACATTGTATCTGATTCGGACTCTTGCACTAGTCCGTCTGGCTACAGTAAGTTAATTCATTTGTAATAGAATTTCAGCACTAGCTAATGGTTTTGCTGTGTACCAGCAACCTTGTTTCTTGTCTCTTGCAAAGAAATGTCAAAAATTAATTTTCCCTGTTTCCCTTTCTTATGTGAAGTTGAATAATACATATGGTTTTCCAAAAGATTAAAAGTTTTAATTATGGAGGACCGATATTTGTTGAAAGGATTATTTAAGATGGTTTCCAGACCCATTTTATCTAACTTTATGATCATCATTTTGAAGCGAATTACAGAGCAAGCCTTTTATATTGTGGATGAATTACTGTATCTACGTGGTCTCACAAAAGGCCAGAAAAATCTGTAACTCTCTTTTCTCATTTTGTTATTTACCATCTCAGCAAAAAAGGCTTATTTTAAACACTCTAGTGAAAACTATTCAAAAGGTGTGTTCCACTGTTGTCTGAAACAATACCTTGGTAATTTTATTTTTCCATGTTAAGAGACTCCTTACATAAATATTTTTACCCCAAGATTTAAAGAAAAGCGACAACAATTTCCATCTTTGTTTCACACTGAAGGATTAATTAATATTCATAGTCTTATACATGTCACAGTTTCATTGACATTGTAAACAGACTAGCTTGAAATACAAAATTGCTATGTAGTTTGAATGACTGTGGTTCACTGAATCAGTGGAATTTTCTACAAGGTTCAAAGCTAAGACTAGACAATAGAATAAAAGAGATTAGTCCGCTGCTGTTTTGTATACCTTGGTTTGAAGCGAAGACTACTACTGTACATGATAAATTTATTCTCTTTACTATTTGTAGCCTATAGTCTGTTTCTAGTTTCTAAATCATTTGATTAAACTGTATTTTTTAAATGTATGTAAAATCGGTCTGTTGGCTTCAAACATAAATGCAGAAAACTCAATGTTACAAACCTTTTTTCTGTTTAATTTTGATTTTTCTAGTTTGAAAAGTTTAAGAACGTAAGTGGTAAGACACACAGGAGAAGGCCATTTGGTCCATCTCTCTTATTTGGTATGTATATTTATTAAAAACCATATTTTGCACAGTTAAAAAGACTCATGACAGAGAGGCTAAAGGCATTGAGACCTTGTGAGAATCGCATAAAGTTGAGGGTCTTGGGTCAGTATCAGACTCTTATTAATATTCAACTCATGGTTTACTTCCTGTTCCAGGTCAAGGGTCAGTCTCTCTTTTGAGCTTGTATAGCAGTGCTTTGTTTGTAGTTTCTTTAATCTTTGTTGGCAGGCTCTTTAATCTCCATAAAACCCGTGTTGCCAAAGGGGATTCTTGGATGTTGAGTAGTAATGAAAAACGTATGTGTAATATATAATTGAATGTGACTTTTTGGTGTTGGGTATTCAGTATGACTGTCTTAGAAAGTGAGGGACAGGTAAATTTGTGTACTGATTGTATGCCTGGTGAGCGTTTTGTTTTCATAAGATGAATGATTAAGAAATTCAAAATTTCTGAGAGTCAATATTAAGCAGATTTTACAGGTTTTATAAATATCAAGTATTAGTACAGCTTTTGAAATGGCAGTGAAATGTCATGATGATCTTTTCTTTGGAGTTTTATCACTTAATGTGCAGTGGAGCTAATGACAAATTTTATTTTTATTTTATAACTAGTAGCCTTGTACAATACACCCAACAATGCCCATGATCTTTTATTATGCATTTTTTGCTAAATATGATATTGGTGATGAGCCTGGTAACATATTTAAGAGTTTTTTTTTACTTAGAAATGTCCAGGAGGTGCAAAAATCACTGCACATTTTGAAGTTACTTTGACAGCTTCTAATAGCCATGTAACATTATAACTATTTAAAATTAGTTATTTTTTGGACAAAATGATTTAATCCTAAACAACTGCCTCTTCAATCCAAGTAAAAGAGAACTTCTTTTATCTTCTTAAGAACATAAGAACACTCACAAACATAAATAAAATGCTATTTGGTCCATCTAGTCCATTTGGTAGTTAGTAGTTAATTGATCTGACTGGTCTCATCCAGCTATGTCTTGGAAGAATATAAACAATTGGGTTTTGTGGACAGCTTATTCCTGACTCCCACAATTTTGGCTTCTTCAGTATAAAATTTTTTGCTTTAAAGAAGGGGAATGATTTATTAAATTTCATTTTCTCAATATATGTCATGGGTGTAATGCATTACATCACTGCTCTATATAGTACAAAAAAAACATTATTTGAAAATATAAGCACTGAGATATTTTGAGTAGTCCAGTTGAAATATAGGCCTATATATTGAAAAGTAGTTCAGGTGGGTAGCTGCCTCAGCATGCGTAGGCTACATAGGAACCAGTAGTAGGTTTATTCTACACTGAAAAGAGGAGAAAGGAAACTTGTCTCCTCTTTTCAGCATGGAATAAACCTACTCCTTGCTCCTATATATTGGTAAGACATACGGACTATTGTGCACACACACCAGAAATACATGTATAAACTGTCAGCTAGAGTAACCACAGCTGCAGTCATTTAACATAAAAGTTCTGTAATTGAGATGTAATTATTGTTTTGGATTAAATAAGTTAAATTTATATTTAAGGGTCAGTTTTTTCTGTCATTGCTGTTACTTTAACTAGTAGTTAAAGTGGTCAAGCTGAATAATTCTCTAGTTTTATTTGTAAATATATATACTTACAGTGGCCTACATTTTTAGAATTAAAGTAATAAATATTTTAATTTTGTGCAAGGCCATTGCGTATGAAACAATCCACCAACATTCAGTGTTAACACGAAATTAATCTTTTAGAATGGATAAATAGAAAAGTAAGAGCTGGAAAGGAGTGTAGTGTAACATGTTACCATTTAGACGTCTCCACAATTATAAGAGTCATTTATATCCTCCTTATGTTATTCCTTATGCCTAGTCTTTGAATGCTGTAAATCCTTTTATTAGAGTTTTCTGTGAGGCCTGATCTTCTTTTGCATGTGCTGGTACTTAGCCACTCAGAAACTGCTCCTGAAGCGACTTTTCATAATTCATGAGGAAGTGTGCACAATACACTAAAATCTGCTAGATTGCTTTCCCCCTACAGTGATTGTTTTTCTTCAGGTTTGCAAAGTTTAAGCAGAAAGAATGTAACAGGCGCACTGCAGAAAGAAAATAAAGGAAAACTAAGAGGCCTTTTAAATTAGCTTAATATTAGATCCACCTTTGTTTGTTGTCCTAGCATTGCTGTCCATCACAATGTGGTGTAATTGATTGCTGTATCTTTAATAACAGCACCACTTCTCACAGTGACGTTGTATCTCAGGAAATGACACACTTTCTGGTTCCAAGAAACAATATTGTTGACTTCATATTGTACACATTTCCGTTAAGAAATTAATTGCCTGTTAGTGCAAGTAAATTTATCATACTGTTGTTTCTTTTGGTAATAATGATTTATTACAATGTGGTACTTGACATTGAGTTTAATTTAGCATTACACATGGATAACTGGTCAAGGTAACAGTGAAAAAGCCCTTCATATTCTTCTCTTACTACTTTCTTGTGCAGTATGATGAATTAGGTTAAAATGCAGTCTTTAACTTCAGTTTTAAGAGTTAGCATTTGATTTTTTTTTAGCTTTTTAATCCTTAAAAATGAGAAAATAAGCACATTTATGTTACAGGATCACCTAAGGATTTGGATAGTTATGGCCAGTTCTAATTGCCAAGTTACTCTTTCCTGTCTACATTAAATAGGTTTTCTTCTGGACTGTAAATACTGAGAAGAAATTTTGAATCTTTATGCTGTTGACTTGAACCATATTTATTACATTTAACTATCACCTCGAAGAACATAAATATGAATCTGGCTGTTAATCTGTTTTTTGTCATGTGGGTGACAAGTTACCCTTTGTGGCTCTGCTTTGTCTGTAAAGAAAACGCATACAGATTTTTTTAGAAAATTACATTGTCTGATTTTCTTTAAAAAGGAAGTTGCACAATGAAGACTCATATTTTGAAAGCACTTGTATCCAAGTGGAAATTGCTTACTATTGCACCCCAATGCTTTATACATGAAGTCATGGATTCTTGAGCTGAGCTCCTCTTTCACTGTAAATTGACTGCAGTGAGACTTTTAATCCATATAAAACAATCTCTTCTTCTTTCGCAGGTATGGCAAAATTGTATCCACAAAAGCTATTCTGGATAAGACTACAAACAAATGCAAAGGTATGATCTTATTTTTTCTATGAAACACTTGGCTTCCCTCAAATACATATAGTCTTTTTAGCCTGTGTTCAATTCTCACTTCCAATAATGACTATGAGTAGAGGTTTGTGCACTTAAAACTTCATTCTGACAAGGCACTGCTCAGTATCCTGTCCCAGCCTCCAATACAATGAAAGGAACTTTTTTCACCTTTACTCCAGCTTCCTCTTTCTCACCCATGTTTGAAAAAATCTGGGACTGGCATCTTACCCATCTGCGCTTATAGCACTGCTAGGTGAAAGTTGCCAAGTCAAGTTGTTCTTCTAATAGTTGATTGTCAGTTGTGCACTATGTCAGCTATTGGAGGAAACCCAGGTTCAGATCTGTTTACAGTCTCTTCTGGATACTCTTGGTGTTGGCAGCTATTTTTGAGGAAACCAGACCCAGAAGCAGCTTTTTTTTCCACAACACTTTTATATAAAACATTTTTTTCATTCTACAGTTGTATGCTTTTGAGAATATCTACACAGTGCAGACCATATTACCAAATCAGTTTAAAGAAATATCACAAAGTAAAGTTAAAAAGATTATTTTTAAATAAAGTTCATGATGCTAACAACTCATAGTTAAAGCTGTTGTTAGATAATTTATTAAATACATTGGAACATAGCTACAAAATGTTATTTTGGTAGTTGGTACAAATTTGTGATTTTTATGCTTGTAAAACCTTCCTTGCCTTCCTAAATAGCTCATGAATATATGACAGGGTCATTATCGGGGCTGAAAATCATTCTTTGCTTATGTATCCATATTCAATTCACGTAAATGAGATGGTGATGGTATTTTACCCCCTGTCAGTTCCCCTTAATAAATGCTCATTCCAGGGTGATGGGAAATGCAAATATTTGTAATTTGAAAGGCCTAAAGTATGATGGCTTGTCGTAAAACAGCATCACAGCAACATCAGCTCCACTCTGAACAAATGGGAGGAGTGTATTCTTCGGAATAAAACAGCTGGAGAAAAGGCATAAGGTATCTTTTTTTAAAAAAAATGCCAGATACTGTATAGGTTGCACTTTCATAGAAGGGCATTGGAGGTTTGCAAGACTGGCAGATGGCCCATGCTGAGCACAACGCCCAGGCTGCCACTTTGACTTGAGTAAAGCTGACATGCGCAGCATTGGCTGGCACTGGGTCCATTTTTTTGTAGGAGAAATGAAATGAGAAAAGAGCTTTGTCCTTGCCTGAGAAGGCCAAAGCTGCTAAGAGCTGGCCATCACTGCATAACGCAAATCTGCAAGGATTACATGTTCTGTAAATGGCTGCTTTAGTGTGTGTTAAAGTGGCATAGTAGTTCTTGATTGCTTTTTTAACTGAACTATTCATGCCTGCTTTTATTAACCAAGGGCAGAGGAAATCTGCAGTCATAGTGCCAGTTCTGGAGGGAGTGTCTTTAGCCAAGAGAGATTTTAATCGAACTTGGCACCCAGCACAAGTGACATGTAGTGAAATGAGTTTGTGCTAAACCAATCACTGCACAATGGGTGTTGACAATCATTGGCCCTTTGAGCTACTACATACCCTTTGGGGGGGCTTCAACTGTAGCATCTCAGTGTTGAGGAATTGTAGAAGAGAAAAAAAAATGGCGTTGGCACTGAATTGGCTACAACACTATTAGCATGATGCCTTCTGCATCCTGTGTCAGTGTTATGCAGCACCATCTTTGTTGCAATGGTGTTTAGCCCATATGACTTTGCAGTGTCCTCAAACAGTGAATGTAAAGGAATTGTAAGTACGTAGAAAAGTCTTCTAATAAAAAGGATCTGTTTGACCCATCTTGCTCGTTGGTAGCTAAGTGAATCTAAAATTTCATCCAGCCATTATGTAAAGGCCTCAAACACCACATTTGTTGCACTTATTGCACTTCAAACATCAAAACATTATTATTAAACATCCTGAAGACTTCAGGCATAAAACTTGAACATTTTGCCTATAATGAATATATACTACAGTTGTTTGTTTCATATAATTAGGTATTACAATTAATATATAATGGAGGTTATACTTTATTGCCTCATAGAAACAACTAACACATCGACTTCCAGTGTTCCTGCTATTAGCAGTATTTCTGTTGATTGGAGTCATGTAAATATAAAATATTAATTGAGAATCAAGTGAAATATAGTTAGATAACTCAGTCGTCATGTTTAAATTTGAAAGTAATTGTCTGTTATTTACAGTGCATACCAGGTTTATTCCTGATGAAATAGGACATAAAAATATTATGTCCAATAAATTGGATTGTTTTGCTTAGGAAAATCTGCAAATGTTGTGGTATCATCTTAATAGTGTTGCACAGAAGAACATGAAATTTGTCAAGCGTAATTTAAGTCCACAAAACACGAGGGGAAATTTTTCACACCTCTGTAGGTCGTATTTTTGTAAGTCCTCCTCTGGCACAGATTACACTGACATGATGCCTCCTGTAGTGTTATGAGGTGTTTGCATATCAGTGGGGGAATTATTTCATTGGATCATTCCTCTAGGCATAATTTCTATGTTCCTCAGAGCCCATGTTTTCCGTTTGTGAACTGCTTCATTGAGTTCAGACCGCAAATCTTCCATTAAATTGAGGTCTAAAAAACGAAATGGCCAATCGAGAGCATGTATTTTGTGAGCAGTTATTGACCTCTGTTGATTTTGGATTATATGCTTTGGATCATCGTCATACTGGAATGGCCGTTGTGGGCACGCTAGAGTGTCTTGGCAGAGGGAACCAGGTGTTTGGCCAGATTGGCTTGTTACACGTTGCAGGATTTCTCTCATCTTAAAAGACTCTTCAGCACCCATTAATACAAAACATAATAGACCCCCTGACAATTTTCACTCTGGATGTGAGTTTTTTGCCTTTTTTACTCCGGACCTGATGAGTGTGTCCAAAAAGGTCCATTTTTGTATCATCTGAATTTTACACGTGGTTTAATTGTGATTCAGATGTAATTTGCCAGTCTTGGCACGTTTTTGTGATCTTTACTGACACTGGAGTTGTGTTGGAGACCTCCAGCCTTTGGGTTTACAGTTGCCTTCTGAACTACTTGTCGAAAGCCTGTGGTGGCAAGATACACTTGCAGCCTTTTTATTGTTCATTACAGCGATAGCCTGAAATGTCTTAATAATGGACACTACAGTTAAAACTGTTAGATTAAGCTTTTAGTTAATTTTTACATGATCAGTATTTTGATTGTGGTCTTCTGAGAGATCTTTGCTCTGAACAATGTCCAGCAGAACAGGAAACCTTTTGAGGTCTGTCTCTGTACATCGAGGCTTCCAATGCACTTCCAAAGAACCAAATTGTCGCAGATTTCATGTTACGATTTTTTTTGTTGATGTGAGTAGTTCTGAAAGGCACAGTATTTGATGGAATGCTTTTTTACTAGTAGCAGCTTTGCTACCTGCCTTCACCCTATAGCAGATATTATCCATGTATTCCTGAAGTCAGACAGCTTATGTACACATCTCTTAGAAAGATGTCACAGGTTCAGGAACTTTGGTATGATGTATGCCCCTAGTTTCAATGTAGCATGTACTCTTGTAACAATTACCCTGCGCTTTCTGTTTAAAATATCTAAATATGGATATGCAGGCTACACTGCCTGGTTAGGATAACACCCACAATGTAAATTGAATTGTGCATCTCTACTGTACAGGCCCTCCATATATGTATATATAAACATAACTGCACACATAATAACATTTTGTTAATATACTCTTATTCCTGTGCTAGCTTTGTCATCTCAAGTTCTTAATTTGGAACGTTTCTTCCTGGTAAATGCCTCGTATTTTCTGTCCACAGCATTATTTGCCCTGAGAATTGTACTGAGAGAAAGTCGCCATCGTATGGCACTTTGTGGCATCATCAAAACCTCTCCACAAGGAAGTGTTAATGAGCCTCGGAGGTTGTATCAAACACTTTCACTAGGTTTAGTGGTGAAACCTTGTAAGAAGCATGGTTCCAAAATCATAATATTGCACAAATAAATTACCTTGAAAATTTATTGCTGGGTTCTATATTAGTGCTTTGCAGTGTGCTCAAAATTGCATTTCTTTATTTCTCAAGTTGCCCCCAAGAAGTAAAAATTTAGTAAGTTTATTGCCTACAGCTGTAATTCAGAACAGTCTCATAAATTTGTATTTCCATATTTGTATTTACTTGTTTAGGCTTAGCTTAGCCCATTTTAACAAGAAAATGTATCTGTTATCTTTAAAATGATACTGTAAGTGATTATCAATTGATACATAAAACATATCTTTGTGCATAGATGTAACCAAGCATGTGAGCTGGAACTTGAAGTACTGTATGTATTCCTGTTATCAGCTTCTGCAGCCTTGCCTGGTTATCGTATCCAGGTTTCACTAAGTCCTTGTTGTTGACTCTGTATGCTATTCCAACAAAAATCTTGAATGTTTGACTCTTTAAACATGAAACCAATAGATGCTGCCATAGTAGGTTAGGAATTCATCCAGAGATATGTGCCCCTTTATTTGATCACATGCATTGCTTTGTCTACTGTATTTTAAAGCAAAATCAAAATCAAAAGAAGCATAATCTACTGCGGTACCTAAGTGAGTTAACACCTTTTATGATATACTGTGTAAGTAACATTATTGGTGCCACTTAACCATGCAGTCAGAATGGGGAAACTGTCAAATATGCTGTTTTCTTGTTGTAAAACCCAATGTAGTATGGAGGTAGATGTGTTATATCTGAGCTGGAGTGCTTAAATGCTTTTTTTATTCATTTTTTCTTGTTGAACTGTATGTACCCGTGTACCTGGATTTCATTTAAATGTTGAAATTCTAAACAAAGACAAAGCTTAAGCATATCTTATTATTCACCCTTATTTCCGTCATTATGATTAATAATATTAGTTGTATTAGGGAGCATGTCTCCGTTGTTCTGTTTTTATGATATTCCTTTTCGGTGGATGTGTAGACATTTAGAAAAAGTGGAGTCACTTTTTTTTCTGTTGAAGCTGTGGTGAAGCAGTCATCTCAGTAAATCTTTGGAAACAGGTTTTACCTACAAGAGAATTGTATAAAAATCTAGGCATTCAATAATGTTATGTAACCCAAAGCTATTTCCCCCATATTAATCTTAATTCTCCCATAGTAACATTTGTATTTGAAACCGGTTCTGTGTTGTCTTTAAAAAGCCCTTTTGCAAGTGCAATTACTTTGTGAAGAGATGAACCTTCCTCATGTGTTAAGGTGAGTAATTGTGTTCTTTTTCAGGCTATGGCTTTGTGGATTTTGACAGCCCAGCTGCTGCTCAAAAAGCTGTTACTGCTTTGAAGTCGAATGGTGTCCAGGCCCAGATGGCAAAGGTAAAAATCTGATTTAAATGTCACATTGCATTCTGATTACCAAACTACGGCAATACCATCTGGGAATGAGAAATGGATTTTTGATAGTTATGGTAAATCATCTCAGTACTTTTAGATTATCAGCTATGCTCTGCATTATCTGCCAGTTCCAGTAGACATGTTTTAAGCTGCCATCCCCAAAAAACAAACAGGAATACCTTGGAAAAAGTCAAGAGAGGAAAAACTTAGAACATCCTTTTACTGGTTAATAACCCTTGAGTCATTGTGATTAACAGCATGAATACAGTACATGTAAATTGTTAGATGGCAAGTGACTTTGAGATTAAAATGATCAGATACTAGTTTATCAGAAACCATTCACTTCATATATACTGTAGCTACACATTTGAAGTTTATTCTGCATAACCTATCCTAATCAGTGTTCCAGGGTTTTAACAATTCCATTGTGAAGATCTGAAAAATCATACTACTTTTACAATACAAAAAATAGTTCCTTAAAACTGATACAGTGAACGTTGAATATGAAAACAGGCAGTTCACTATGTCCAGCCTTTCAGATATGTATAGTACTGTCGTTCTGGTTAGTGGATTCAGCATATTACTACTTCATTGTTGCAAAATCATCCTGACTGTTTTTAGGTTCTTTGTTTCATTACCATAGTCTGCGATTATTTAAGTGATAGAATAACACTCTGCTTCTGAAAATTATTTAACTCCTGCAAGTGCCTTTATTTAAATACCAACAGAGACATGATAAACTTACAACCATGTACAACCTAGTTGCAAAAACCTGAAGGTGTTTTCAAGTTCGAGAATACATATCTCAAGCAGTGCTCATTTATGCCAGAAACTCAATTCATTCCCCCAGAAAAGTCAAACCAACTTGTTATGAAGTGGAACCTGTAAGCAATTTGGGTGGAACAATGCTTACTAAAGCATTTGGAGGGCAGATGGTTTCTTGCCCAAAATAAGGATGTGTATACCTTTTTGCTAACCAAGACTGCTAAAATTTGGTAACATGAAATTAATTTATGGTATTGCATAACAAACCTGACAGCATTGTTACTGTTCTATGGTCTGTTTGACTATGGTCTGTCTGAAATATACCAGACATAGGAGTGTAGTGCCTTGCAATAGTTTTGACTTTAGGTTTTGCTGAGAGTCAATTGGGCAGTGATTTCTTTTTGTTGGTCTTCAAAGAGCACTACTACTGTAATGGCTGGGAATTAGGTGGTTTACATTCTTGAACTGAAGAAAGGGAAGTAAATAATTGGAGGTTGTTATGGCAACCTGAGCAGTAAACCCAGGGAATCAGACTATAAAAGCTAAACAGGAATATTCAAATTAAATTCCCTGTTAATCCCAGCTCTATAATATGACCTTCTTGACATGCATCTGTGGCCAGTATTTAATTTTTAATTACGATAAAGCTGTTTTGTTAAGCAACCCAGGCTTTAATCCAGGTATTGTTCTAGATAAACACTAGAGACTTCAGGCTTTTAATCGTCATTTCCATGACTTGCAAGGGCTTAAAATTCATTTGTTTCAGTGTTTAAAGAACTGTTCAGCATGTGTTATTTTCTAAAGAGCAATGGGGTGTATCCTATCTGGCTTTAAAAAATGTTCTGTACTTCTAAAACAAAGTTAAATATTTTAAATATGACTATGGTGTCTTATAATTGAAAATTAGAAATTGAAACAGTGTAGATTTCTATCTATAAAATGGTAAACGCTTTTACACAGAAGCAGAGCAAATTAAAGTTCATTTCCCATTTAAATCCTCAGCATAGACTTCAGAAACAGGCCTCACCCCAGGAGCAGCACATTCTTTATAGGAGAAGACAACCATTAAATCCCTTTTCTATCAGCGGATCTTGAGTTCTGTGAACATTCCCCAGTCACATGATGTTTAACGACTGGCTGTTTTGCTGGTGACCCCATTCACTGCAAAAACAGATGTCTTATCTTTCTGCCAAATTTCTTTCCTGCATTTTAGGAGCTGTTCCACACGCACAGGGAATATTTTTTTTTCTTGTTAATTTCTTTCAGATGATGAGTGAGACTTTCTTGCATCATGAAGGACCTCTGGTCTGGACAAACATTTGTTGTTTAAAAGCTGCATTCAGCTTTTTTTGTTTGTTTACATTACCAAATGTTATAACTCAATTTGAGGCAAGGTATTTATAGAATATCTGTAAACCCCTTCTGTGAGAATTTTCTTTGAATAGTATTTATCTTTTGGATTCTTCTGTAAAATTTCAAAATTTGAAATCTACCCCGATAACTTATTTCTTTATTTTGATTTTTTTAAACTTTATTTTATTGGAAGACAATTACAAATTTCAAAATGGTGGTTGGCATTCCTTATAAGGGGTCTAGAGATGAGAATCCTAATGAACATCAGGAAGAGCCTATTAATATTTATACATGTATGTTTTAAGAATTTGGGTATATTGGTCAAATGGTTTTAATTTTTAAAATTGAAATAATGAGCACTCAAGATTTTTTTAATATCAAAGCTAGAGAAAATCAGGAAAGAAATGCAGGGAATGACAAATATGCCCTGCCTCTCAAGAGAGCAAATCCTTTGTGCCGTTGATATGTTAGAGGCTGGACAAAGGCTGTGTACTGTTGCTCGCCATCAGGGGTGTTCAAATCCAGAAATTTCAAACTTGGCAAATTCCACTGTATCAGAAATTGCAACAACCAGTAGTTAGTGTGAAGAGGTGGCTAAATATTCATAGTTTTCAAATTGGCGAACCACACAACAGTTGGTTGCCAGTGTTCGTTGATTTAACAGAATGGGTTGATGGGAGCAGTATTGGTCCCAGCTTTGTAGGCACAGCGTCATTTGGCAGGAGACAGTTTAAGTTTTGTTGTACCCTCATTTAAACTAAAAACAACACTTAGTAGCCACTCCTCCGTCCAGTTTTGGAATGTGTCCGGGGTCATGCTGCCCTGTAGTTATTAAGAAGGAGAACTGACAAGAGGAACTGCCATCAGTTTTCCTGTTGCATTCCATATTTATTTGAAACCCCCCAAAAATACCTCCTGTGCCTGCCCCTTACATAAGCAATGCCTCAGCCGGTTTTGTGTAGATCACCCTGACGGAGGCTGTCAAGTGTGGCACTCTGGTGCAGATTGACATGCTAATCGGTGCGACTGTGTGACTTGACGTGTGATCAAGTCCTGGATCCTCTCTTGCTGTCCTTCCTGCTCTCTCATCCTGACACAACAGAATTTCAGCAGAGTGACGCACATCCTCATGTTGCCTGTGTAACGATGTCTTTCTTGGGGAAAATGGAAAGGTGACAGGTCTATTGTGGATGGCCTATTCATGAGACTTGAGCCCCGTTTAACATTTGTGAGATAAGGTGGGGTAACGTGGCATCTAGGGCTCAGATCAGTGAACCACCACATGCTTGTCCAGGTTCAGCATAATCGAGCAGAATTCCAAAAGACTGACTGCAAAGAATATGTGAGCCATTGCAGTGTTGGCCTCACATAATATAACCATGTGACTTTCACAGTCGACTTTCTGATGATTAGAAATGATAAGCAGCGTAATGCCTTTACCTTTGTCATGTCTGTTCAATTTAAAGACAGTGAACGTCTGCCAAATGAATGCTCAGCATATGTATTAATGATACTCGGCTTAAAACAAAGCTGTCCTGTCATATGTGGTAAAATTAAACATGCTTAAAATCTGAAAAATGCAGACATTAGCAATGTCCCATTTTCTAAGTAAAGTTGTTGTAATTGGATCTGCTCATTTTAACTGAGAGATAAAAGTGAGTAATTTGCATAGGTAAACAAATATAATTTTATTTGGAACAAATAATTTTGATTTCCCAAAAACCATGATGGTTGAGACATTTGTACATCCTGTTCCTTTTCATGACTTCAGTTTTCATGATCAAAGGACTGAAATTCATTTAAGTCTCCATCTGTAAAAGATAAAAACAGATTTGTTCTTTTTTTGCTCTTGCATATTAACAAGATTTTTATGGACTTCACATAGTATGGCAAATTTACAGTAAATGTGACATAGAGCTCATAAAAGTTTCTCATAGTTGCTTCTATTGAAATTATTTCTTTTAAACAATTTGGAGACGCAATGAAAATCCTACAACATGTGGACATGTAGTTAAAAATAATAGGTTTAGATAAAGGGATGTTTTGTTTAAATTTTGTAAAAAATGATTGCTGCTCTGAAATTAGTTCAGAGAAGAGCAGCCAGATTGCTCTGGGCTCAAGTTAAAGGAACTGGAGCTTGTTAGTCTTGAACAGATAGGTCTGCAAGGTGACCTGATTCACATATTAACTAAAAAGGGAAAATCTATCTGAACTGCTGAAAGTTCAATTTACAGAAAGATTTGTGACTTTTAATTATTTTCTGGTTATTTGTTTAACTTTCAAATGTCTGTAAATGCTAAATATTTCCCTCAAAATGGGTTTCAGACCATAATTTAAAGTCAAGTTGATAACTCTGCACAGACACCAGATCAACTTGGCAAATCAGTATGACATTTGGAGTTCCTGTGCTGATTATGCATTGTAAAGTTAATGCAAACTAAACTCAGCAAGGTGCATGAGCAAATTGCCTCATGAGAATACCCCAGTTATGCAAATTTAGGATTAGAATTCCCAGTGCATTAAAAAAACATTAAAATAATAAAACTGTCATTTCACATTCCCCAGGCATGGTCTACCTTTTGCCCTTGAATGTCAATTGCATGCCGCTCCACATTTCAAGACTGGCGAAACAATGATGGCTGCTAAGGTTTTCAACCGGTCTGTCCCTCTTAAGCCTTTAGGAAGCGTTATTGACAGCACTGGTACATGTGGCGTTGTTAAATACAGTGGCTTAATTTTGTCCCAGTGTAACCGTCATGCTGTTTTGTTTAAACAACCTTTGTTGTTGATGGTAATTTGCAAGCATACATTGTTCGCTAATGGTTCAATCTAAATTTTTGTCAGCCTATTGCTCTAGTAATCCAATCCTTTCTCCTTATGGGTATGAACGCTCTGCTGTAATGAATATTAATGCGAGCTGTGTATTCTCAGCAGACCTCTTTCCATATCTTCTGTTTCTGCTGACTCTATTAAAACACAGAACAGAAAATCAGCTGATGTATGAAAGAACAGGCCACAGGCTACATCCAAAACGCAATTCATCACTCTTCCCTGTGACCCTTTATTAGCCTAAAATCTAAGAAAGACGGAATGAATTGGAACAAGTTTTAACTTCAGAGCAAGTTAGAAAAAGTGATCTTTGTACTTAAAACAAAGTTTCTTAATGGGGCTTTAGAAAATGAATGTCCTCTCAGAGCTGAAGATCACAATATCAAATTCATCCTCTGGGTTTGATAGATTATAAAATTTTGCCTTTTAATATTAACCTGTGGTTTGAAAATTAGACTATTAAAAAACAATGTCTTACTTGGGTAATTTATTATATAGGTTTTACTCAATTTTTAGTTTTCCTGGATTTTGTTGCAAAGTCACATATAAAGTTTATTAATGGAGAGTGTTTTGTTTTAATAGCAACAAGAGCAAGATCCTACAAACCTCTATATTTCCAACCTGCCGCTCTCTATGGATGAACAAGAACTAGAAAATATGCTGAAGCCTTTTGGGCAGGTCATATCCACTCGAATATTACGTGATTCTAATGGTGCAAGCAGAGGAGTTGGCTTTGCGAGGTAGGTATTTTACTATATTTGAGTTTTAAGTGTTTGACAAACATGTTTGTCCAATGAAGTGTTTAGTAATTCATATCTGCATGCTTTCAAGAATCATTTTCTTATTCTAGTTTTACAGTATGTTACACAGGTTTCTGTTTTACTGTATACAGAATGTAAGATTTATAAGTTGACTGATGGTGGCTTGAAAAGAGTAGTATGCACTGGTGTGCCTTTTAGTAAGCAATAGAAATACGGTAGCTTGATATACTGTTAAAGGTAGCTGAATGATTCCCAAGGCCCTGCATGCAGCATTTATGTTTTGCTAAAAAAATGCAAAAGCGAAGCATCTAAGAATTGATGTAAGTGTATTTAATTTTCAGTACTAAAACATGTCTGTGAGGTACAGTTTGCATTTTTGTAATTTATATTGGAAGTGTTCCATTTATCCTTTTGTAATATTTACAGGCATGCTCACTCCCTAATATTTATGAGCTCTTTGAGTAGAGCTCGTTCAAATCACACAATCATGGTTTAAGTGAAAATATTCTGAGTTTTTTCTCTCTTAGTTGACGACATACTTCTGTTATTACTTTCAGCAAATTGTGTTCTACAGTAAAAAGCTTTGAAAACCCCCACCTGCCACTTCAGTTAGCAGTATCCTTCATATGGATTTAACAGATGAAATGCTATGATAGTGTTTCACAGTAAAGCTTTGATATTTAGAGCTGAATAAAAACCTACCCCACACACACTCCCACACACAAACAGTGGTAGCCTGCCATTCTGTACCTCTTGAAAAAGTGACCAACAAATTTCTTTTCAGACTTGAATAAGAGTGACTGTTTCGTCAGTTTACTTAAAACGAAAGCAGTGAATCATTAAAATCAATTGTAATTGTCTTATTATGCATGTTCAAGTTTCAGCTTGAAAATTAATTTACAGAGTGTAAAGAGCATTTTCTGGAAATACACTTAAGCCAAAATGTATTTGTGGGTATAATTTAGTTGGAGTAGATGGCATTTTAGAAAAACTCCTAATTTGCTCAATATGTAAGACATACCGCAAAAGTATTTTATTTTGTGGATTGCCACTGCTTTATTTCACAGCAGGTCTAATGAGTGGGGATGTGTTTTGGGTGGTGAACCAGTTGTCCCTCTAGAGGTGATAAAATTAGGTTTGTCTGAATCCCAGTGAGAACAAGCAAAACATTTTATCCTATACTTGAATTGGTAGTCTCCTACATGCTTGGGCTACCAGGCAAACAAATTGCGATGAAATATGCTTTTTAACCACTTGAGCAGGCTTGCAGTGTAATTGATTTTGCAGGTAGGGATTAGTCTCCTATTTTGCTGACATGTTCAGTGAAAACGTGAACTAAGCAGACCTCCACAGTGTACCAAAAGGTTTCTGACATTCCTTTATGTGGCCATTTTGATCGTTTTTTTGGGCTAGGCTTTTTTCTCTTGGTGTATGAAATCGGCATTTCCTGCAATGTGTCCTAGAATTTTTGCTTTCTTGTTTTCAAAGAGCCTTCATTCTTTTTTTCCAAAGAAAAAAAACACATAAAGATTCTCATTGTTCTGTAACCCCAATCATGATTTAAATTGCAGAAAGCGTAAGTTTATCATTATCATTATCATTATCTTATTGTAGGTATTAAGCATGCGTTCATTGTCAGAAAGCTGCTTATTCCAACTAATTCACAGCAACCTGGAGTCTATCCCAGAAGCATAGAGTGTAAAATAGGACTACACCCTGGACAGGAAGCCAGGCCATAGCAGAACATGCACACAAGCACACGGGTAATTTTAGAGACATCACTTAACCTAACCAGCATGTCTTTGCTAGATAGAGCTGGGTGGAAACCAGAATATGCAGAGGAAACCCACACAACACAGAGAGGACATACACACAGAAGAAACCCCATTCCAGAATTCAACACAGGAAGTATTTCAACAATTTACAATAAATAGCTGTAAAGACTTAAAGGCAGGAAGATTAGTCAGAAATTATAACCAAAAATCCACAACACTCATGAAAGTATGAGTTTCTCTTTATGCTTTTCAGGATGGAATCAACAGAGAAATGTGAAGCAGTCATTTCCCACTTTAATGGAAAATTTATTAAGATGCCACCTGGAGTCCTTGGTGAGTATCTTTTTTTATTTTTGAATTACTATAGAGATTAAAGCCATGACACTGCCTACATGGTTAATACAAGGATAACGATAAACAAGTAGCACAACTATCTTTCTTAAATTGGCTCAGCATATAGAACCAAGTTCTGGTGTTCCGAAAAGTCCTTTTAACCAATGTATTTCCACCCATTGAACAAATGTGGGTAATTTTTTTTTTCTCAGGTTGCATTTAATTAAGCTGTGCCATTCAAAAGTGCAGTTTTGTCAGTGTTTTTTGTTTATTCTGCAAACACGTTCCATGGTAACAAGAATGAATGCAGCTCTTCAACAAAGTGCATTTTCTTTCATTTTCTGGCTAAGTGTAAATCGGACTGAAAGCAGTGTGCAGACATCCAGCAGGAGAATCTCTTATGCAGGTCTATATTTAAATTCTTTAATTTAGAACTAACCTTATGGTCTGTACCTGTTTATTTCCAAATTTCATTTTTTGACATATCAGCAAAGTGGTCTATAATGGCTGTCAGTTAAAGCTGTATGCCACATTTGTTGCACTTACATTGAAATTTATTATTACACTTTTTTGTTGCTCATTAGTTTCCTTCCCAAAGAATGTTTTCTTCTCCTTAAAGAATAAGGCATGTGGGAAGTCCTATCCAGCTGATTAGCAGCAGAAAGCTTCCCTGAGGGCTATGTGGGGCCTTCTTTGTCATTTTAAGCTTTTTAATTGGATTATGAGACTGAAATAGCCACTGCAGGCAATTGCCCGTGTTGATTTTTGGAAAGGGGGATTACTGAGCTGTTGGTGCCACTTTTGATTTATTTGCTTTGCAGCATTTTTCAAAAGGAGAACTTTAGGCTTTGATTTCCAGATATCTGACAGCGTCATGCTTTTCTACTTAAAGACCTGTTGCCTGGTTTTGTCTTGTCTACAGCACCCTCAGAACCCTTATTATGCAAGTTTGCAGATGGAGGCCAGAAGAAGAGACCAAATCAGAACAAATATGTTCCGAATGGCAGAGCATGGTCCAGGGAGGGCGAGGTGAGACTTGTAAGTCCCGCTTCAACATTTCTATGAGTTTGTAAGAATACTCTGTACGTTTCAAATCTGGGGAGTTTTTTTTTGGTTTCAGCACATTTTGCTCTACAAGGGTCTTTGGCTTACAGAAATGAGCTGAACATATGGTACAATAGTCACTGAACAACAGTTTATTTTCTAAAGATAAGTAGGGAATAACAGCACTGTGTAGGAACTGTATAGTCTACGTTGTCTCTGCCTGTGTCACTCATGGTCTGATCTTGTCTGACCTCTTTCAGGGGACTGTTACTGTAACATCTTAAGTTTTACTCCTCTTGATAAGAACAAGGGCACTATTTATTAATGAATTGTCAAACAATCTAAGCACTTTATTTAGAAAAATAGATCATGTTTAGTTTAGACGTTTTATTTTCAGAAGTCTTTTTTGTTTTGTAAAGATTTCTGTAAGGATTCACTTATACCTCTATAGGTACAAAAGCAGGACTCCTACAAATCTTTTTGGTATGTTTGCTAATTTTGTTTACTTAAGAGGTTTGGGTCTTTTGAAAGTAGTCCTTTTAAACATTGCACACTAATGTTGCTTATTGAATAGAATTCAGTTTTCATTGTAGCACGAATAACTGGTCACAAACCTGCCCTATGTCTTAAATAATGTAAATACTGTAGGTGTTTATCACTAGAAAAGAAAACTGTTTTTGTAATCACAACAGTATTTTATGTGGACTAAAACAAAATAACTAAGAATTAAAGAGTATTAAACCAGTATCGGTACATGCACTATTACACTGTTCACCCTTGTGATGGTATTTAAATTTACATTACTGCCATATGTTATTTACCCAACTACAGGTTAGGGTTATTGGGAAACAGTATTGCAATGTAAAGACCATTGACACTGGGTCCAGTCCATCTGAAAAGTTGTGCATTATCCAAAATGTTGTGCTAAAACACAACATTCAATATTCAAATTATATTAAAAAAATGTGCTTCAGATATTTACTCCTGACTAAGTTCCACTCTGGGCTTGTACAGTGTAGCCTGATCCCCATTAATTCCATCGCTGAAGTCATTTTTCACCAGAACTGCTGTGTAGTGGGGCTGCTGAAGCATAATGGCTGGCATGCATCACCCGGGTGGGCGTCTATGTAAAACACTTAGCGATCCTTTGGAATGAAAAAAATTATTATTATTATTATTATTATTATTATTTAAGGTCTGGGAGAAGTATCAAGGCCTGATACAGACTGTACAAAAAATGCACATGCTTAACCTGTATAGCTCAAATTGCTGGTTTTCCTTCCTTGAAGTTTTAAGCAATGAAAGAAGAAATTTTCAATAAGTAAGAGTCAAACAGTTGAGTCACTGTTACAGACCATAAAGAAGACTGATGCACACCAAACCTGTTCCTATTCTAGTGTTGAATTCAATTAAGCAAGAGAGGCAAAGAATGTGTGAATGTCGTTGTTTTTAGAGCACAGACCTCCTTTTGGAACTTGTACATTTTAGAGACACCAACACACCAACCTAGAAAAATCTAATTTAAGCATGAAACTAATTTCTATAAATATATTCTTGATTACGTGGCCACATGATCATATAGTTTGGAATATGGAAAAGTGTATATTTATTATCTCTCTCCTTGTATCATTTGCTTAATTTATCATAGAATGTGCTTCTCCAGAAACATGTTAAGCATTTAGTCAGGAATTGCAGTAATCCCATTTTTACCAGTTGATTTATAATTTTAATGCATGTCAGATGGAGGTTTTTAGTTCAATTTTCGATGAATGACTGTCATGAAACATTTTAATAGTATGATAAGCATATTAGCCAAAGGGGGACACAATTAAACACCATATTCACAAACCACCATGAGGAGCATCCGAAGCTATAAAGACACTCGATGCATGCACATAAAAAAAAATTAGGTGGTGGGTTCATTTGCATCTGCTGAATATGCTAATCACATGCTAATTCATTCGGTTGTGGAACGATAGCACTAATGAGGGTAATGACATGCACATGGTATTCTACAAACCCTTCCTAATCACGAAGAGTGCCTTAACTCGCATGCAAGTTTGTGCTGATGGAAAGCAGGTGTAATATTGCCGAGATCCATCTTGGGAAAAGCCCCAGTGCAGTTTGTTTGTTGGCCACCATTATTGAGGGACTGAGTTCTAGCTCTGTCATGTATATCTGGTATCTCAGAGTGCAGAAAGATTGGATTTTTCTGAGGTACCTTATTTTGCTGATAGTCTTCAAGGTACCTTTTACAGCAACAGATGTTTCTGTTTTTTTCATTTAATGCAAGGCATGTGTCTTTTGTGAATAATATGAATTTGGTAAATTCCCTTTCAGTTTTAGGTTTATTTAATTAGCTCCATATTGGCAAAAATGTCTTCCTTGTTAAATATTTTCTGTATTTTGTAAGCAAGCATTTTCTAAAGTTTGTATTTAAATGGTAAAAGCAATTATTTTTTTGCTTTTCCAGGCTGGAATGACTTTGACATATGATCCTACAGCTGCTGCTATGCAAAATGGGTAAGATAACTCCTGCGGAGTGAAAAAAGACATCAGTAGTTTGATCAAAGTTTATTTGTTTATACATGGAATCAGGTCATTTTTAGAGTTAATCTTTTCTTTCTGCAGATTTTATCCTCCACCATACAGTATTGCGAACAGGATGATCACCCAGACTTCTATTTCACCATATATATCACCAGTTTCAACATATCAGGTTTGTATTAAGCATTGTTAGAAGATTTACATTGCTTTAGAAATATATGCAAGACATAAGAGCTGTTTTAACCTAATGTAGCTAAGAGAAAACACCAGTTGTGATATAGAAAGTAGATGTGTAGTGCTGTATTGACACAGTTCAAAATGTGGAATGTGTGATTTAGCCTAGCTGTTAAAGGAGGTTTCTAAGTGCCCTGAGAGGTAATATTTTCCCCAGGATAGCTCTCTTTAAGACTGGTGAGTGCCCCTGATCACTGGAGCGGGAGTAGTTAAAGCCAGGCCTGAAAGCCATAATCAGGAGACAATACACCACATGGGCAGGGTGGACTCGCTATTTCAACTCACTGACAGCTTCCTGTTGCTTCAAAAGAAGCCATGTGCTTTCCCCTGTGGAGTCTCAGTCAGGATGTTTTCCCCTTGGAGCCGTTCTCAACAAGGAATCATCCCCTTCTGTCGCCGTGCTCATGAATTGCTCTGCCAGATACGGTCTTGTCAGTCTCGTCTGGAGTCGTTTCATACAAGCTTGCCTATTAAGCATTAACCCACAGCCCTGTCAGGAGTCCCTGTCTTAGGACTGACTCCAGGTCTGTTGCCCCCAGGGCATTTCAGTAAATCTGGGATTGCACAGACTGAGAACAGATACACTGGAGAATTTCTTCTGCTGAACAGTGCAGCTTTCTTAGAATTACATTGTTGCTAAAAGTGCAGCTTTCATCAAGACCAAAGCTATGCCCTTTTAAGTTATTCTTTAGATAATGCCAAACCATTGTACACAATGCTCAAGTTATAACAAAATCTAAAACTACAAATTCTAAATTGTCATACAAATACTAATGATTTAGTCACCTCTGTCAAAAGACTTGGATATACCTTTTCTCATCAGTGTCTGAGAAGTGCATTTGAACTTCTATGAAGTATCATTCTCTTACCGTGCCATATTTACCTTTGGAATTTCTGATTTTTTTTATTTCACAGGTACAGAGTCCTTCCTGGATGCCTCATCAATCTTACATCATGCAGCATCCAGTAAGTTGTGGTAATTGTTTCCCTTTTTCTATAATAGGTTACTCAGCTGCAACTAATAAAAGGTTCATAATAAAAACTACTGCTCAGAAAAAAGACTTGAATTTTTTCCCCCAGTGCTGTTTAGGAGATGTGTATGTAAGATATAATGATATGTCATTATATACAAGACTAGATATATAAGATATGCCCTTCAATGAATTGTATACATCCTCCTGTGGAATTTTGGATGTACAACTGTAGACTGAGACAGTACTCCAGAATCGCTCCTTTCAGCTTACTCATTCTGTTTTTTTAACCACAGGAACTCGTGGTGAGGAGAGTAGGAAATGCCTTCAGCATATGCTGTGTTCATGACTCATACTGTCTGCATTTTTTCACAGGTGGTTTTGAGTAGTAAGAGCTAGTTTTTATCCTGATTTGCTAAGGAAGTATTTTTCCAGAAGGCATTTCGTGAGTGTACATTTGGTTTGTTGTTTTTTTTTTAGATCAAAGCACACCTCTGTTGCTGCACAATAGCAACCTAGAACTGCATGATTAATTTGACCATAAGTGCTTTTGGGTAGTGAAGGCTGTGGTAGTTGTAGGTTACTCTGTATGGACTAAAAGTCAAATGCATGCTTTGTCAGTGATTTGTCTCTTAAATCACTTTTTCTTTTAAGCGATGATCAGCTCTTATGTTACCAGTTACAGGAAAAAGGCTTTTCATCACAGTGTAATGCAAAAAACAAAACTTTTCTTCTATGGTGCCCTTTAGCCAAATTCTCATTGTTTCTGTTAACAGATAAATACCAGTCGGAGACAGTTATATAAGCAAGTTAAAAACCTCCACTGATCAGTTGTGCAGGCAGTAAAGCTTCAGAAGTGACAAGGAACTTATTGAATCTGATGCCTCTATTATATTACACAATTTGACTACACAGATATAAGACATTTGTATTCTGATTTTTTCCTGAGTTTCTGAGTTTAACTCGGTTTCTCACAGCTGATCCCTACATTTGAAAAAATCCAGAAACCTGAGCAGGCAGAAGGCTGTATTGAATAAACATGCAGCTGTCTGTGGTTCTAATGTCATACATACAGGATTGGCTCTGGAAGGGAATAGAAGTTAGAATTAGCTGCACTTGTAGGGAAGATTTTTTTTTAAATATTGCTTGACACAAACTCAGAATAATTTGTGTAATTATTCCAATACTGTTGTTCCCAACATGAAATCTATATAGCCCCTTTCAACTACAAAAGAAAAAAATAATATTGAGATTTTGCCCAAGAGTAACAGAGGTACTTATTTTGAATATGTGTGTCATTTTTGAGTAAAATATCTTCACTGTTTAACCAAAGGGAATTTAGATGTAGCAGGTAAGCTTTTCTCCTGGGAAGCTTAGAAGAGTAGTGGTATTTGGTGTTTCCTGAATATACAGTTAATACAATTAATAAGGATTTCGAATTTTCTATTTCATACTGAATTTAAAGTAAAATTAGAAGCCCTCAGCAGATATGATCTGTCTATTTTTGCCCAGAACAGCACATTCCATGTGTAGTGATATTGTATTGGCTACATAGTTATGGTTTTGAAAGAATCTGATCAGTTTGGACCTGATGTAATCTGAAATGTGTGTAGAAGTGTAATATTGAATTCACAAAAAGTATAATATTGAATTGTAATATTGTTTGTAATATTAAGGCAGGTTCCTTGAGGCATTCCTGACTGGCAGAATTTAGTATTACATTTGAAATTAAAATGGAAGTGATGACAAGTAAAGGGTCTTTTTATATGTGTATTTGCATAAGTAATTATTAAGCATTAAAAGTTGACAGGTGTCATATCAATAGACTGGTGAATGGTAAAATATTCAGTACCTGGTCATTTTATGAGCAGTACTGATATTCTTTAGTGGAAATGCGGGTTTCTGTCTCTCTTTTGCCTCAAATGTAGAAACAGGATGTGGCTCCTTTTGAGTGAGTTAGTGAAAATCCCAGCTGGCTGCAATGTCCTCTTGCTCATTTAAGAGCTTTTGCCAGAACATAAATTGATTTTAAATATTCATGATTTACTGTCTAATAGCTTAATAGGGACTGTGAGAGAAGTTGGTTAATATGGATCCATTTTGAGCTATTGGATTTTTTCTTGCATATTTTTGAATTAGATCTAGACAGATTTAATGATGTATAGTATTTTGGTTAAAATTGTATATGAAGTAAAAGTGTGTCAGTATGCAGTTCTGAAATGCATTTAATTTTTAATGTTTAATTTAAATCTGTACTTTTACCTACATAATTCCTTGCAATATTAGCCAAAGTGAAAAAAATATTTTCACAGTATTTTGACTCTTTAGGTATCATGATCGGCAACAATCTTCCTGATTGTTTTACTGTAAAGCTTAAGAGCATTTTCTTAAATCTAACCTCTTTTCTGGATTGTTTTCAGATAGTAGAGAGAAATGTGAAATACTAGTATTTTTTGTTTGTTAAATTAACGTTTTCATATTTCTTGTGCCTGTGTATTTTCTTCTGTTTCTCAGGGAGCAGTAATTTCGCCCTCTATGGAGCACACAATGTCAATGCAGCCTACATCCATGATGAGTCCACTCACACAGCAAATGGGTCACCTCTCTTTAGGCAGCACAGGAACGGTACTGGATCTCTGAAAATGATCTGTGTTACAGAGTTTTAGTGTTGCTGTTTAAACAAGCCATACATTTGTCTCCTTGTTGTTTTAGAGCACAGTTGATTTGAGTATTTGTGAACTGCAAAATCCCAGAATACTACTTAAAAAATCTTACAGATAAGAGGTGGCTATTCAGTTCATCTGGCTTGTTTGATTGCCTGTAATCTCATCCAGCTACTTCTTGAAAGAGCCTGGGGTATTGGTTTAGATCCCATGACTTGGGACTTCATTCCTAACTCCCGTAACTGTTTTTTTCCAAAAGCCTCCTGCTCTCCATTTTAAAACCATTTTCTCTTAATTTGTACCCCCTCCCCCATCCCCCCATGGTTCATTTTCACTTTTGATTCTGAAGAAGTTCATTAGGTGGTCTTTTTGAGAATATTCAAAATTATTGGAAGATTGACTCAGCTATTGTCATAGATGGAAAAGGTTCAGTTCTTTTAGTTTGTCAGAGAAGGACATTCCTTTCAGCCTGGGAATGTATCTGGTTAGTGTTCTTTGGGTTTATTTTTTCCAGAGATGGAAATGTTTTTTTTTCATATTCTTAATGAGGTCTAAGTGGTGCACTGAATAGAATCTACTTTGTCCACATAGAATAGAAATTTTCCTTTGACCACACTTTGACCAAAAAACAGTGTATATGTAGAGAACATAAAACATTCAGTGGATTTCACAGATGTATACAGTCAATGTAATATAAATAATAATACCATACAAAGCAGTAGAAAAACAAGATTCAGTTTTGAAGCATAAGACACAAATGTGAGCTACATGCACATAAAGTATACTGTATGCTGTCGATGCAGTGCTGTGAAAGAGATTGTACATCAGAGTTTCTGAGTACCAGCACTCAGAACAAATCAAATCTTAAAAATGTTTTTAAAAATGTAGCCTTTGGTACTCTGAAATCTTCTGGATGGTAATTTGTCAAACTGGTAGTGTAGTGGATGTGTGGCATCATTTACTACCAACACTGCCTTCCTGTGAACACTCCTAGTATAGATGCAGCTCAGCTGGTTCTGTTGCTGACCAGTAATTTCGCTTCCTGTGTCTATAATCCTTGAGATCTTGGCTTTACCCCTAACACCAAGATTTCCAGAACAAGTGGGGATGTTTAAAGAAAGCACACCCTACCAGATTTGTGTAAGCCAGCTCTAAGATCTTTGCTTACGTCCAGGCTCCTCAACCTTCTCAAGCGGCAGAATCTTGGCACAGCTTTTTAAAAACAAACAATTTTAACATAACATTCCTTGAATTAAATTCTACTCCTTACTTTATAAACTAATGTTTTGTTGCCTTTTTTCCCCCTTCAGCACATGTATAGGCAATGTAAATGTCTCTCTCTCAAAATATATTCAAGCTTAGTATTCCTGATTTAGTGTCCATATTTTTTTTGCTGCTTTATACTCATTACTGAAATGTGATCATCACAAATGTAATATTCCACACCGACTACAGTAAACATCTGCCAGGTTATTTACACTGTAATGAATTTCAAGTAAATATTTTAAGAATTACAGAATTTGTTAATTAACTAATTAGATCATAGTCAGTATAATTTCCTAATAATATCCCTAATAGTGGTACCTATGGCTAGGGGTGATGCAATAAGTGGGATACAATACGTGTTACAGATTTATATTTCATCTCCTTATTGTTTGCTGCTGGGGATAACTTATCTTGTGTGCATTGTTCAATATTGATGTATATTTCCTTAAAAGTATATCCCTAGCTTTTTTTGTTTTCTTTTATAGTTCATGCCTGCCAATACAGCCATGCAAGGAGCCTATATTCCTCAGTATGCCCACATGCAGACCACAGCAGTTCAAGTTGAGGTTTGTTACTTGCTTCTGACACCCTTTCTTTATTATTTCTCGATCTCCATTGTTCAGCGTGTTCTTGTAAAGCTTACCTGATGTAAAGGACTTCCTTAAATGAAGGTAGTAAGCAGCTCCGAGTGGGAATCTTTATGTAATTGATCAAAATTACCACTTTTTTTACATAATTGATCCGCTTTTAAATGTAAACCTAGTTCAATAAATTGTTCCATTTCCAAGGCAGATAGAACTTAAGTGTTACTTTATAGTTGTTCTTGAGTCCTAATGGTTATGTTCTTGATGTTTTTGGTAATAACATGCACAAGGAGTTGTTTTATCACTCAAGTGGAAATGGTACTGCCCAGAAGCTAAACGGAAATGCATATTTATGTAACTCCATATAGGCTGTTGACCTTTGGGCTTTTTGAGACCAGTAAAAAGTGTCTATTCACCATTAAAAATGGACCTCCCAACTACAACCAGTAAAGGCCCTAAGTACAGATGGAGAACTATGATCATGGGCTCAAGCATGGGTCCTGTAACTAGCCAACTGTGACTGGTATTCCCTGAATGGGGCCACTCAATTGGTTGAGGGTGGGTCGGGTCAATCAAGGGCCTTAGCTGTGGTGCCATCACTGAAGGATGCGTCTGTACTTCCAGTAGGAGGCTGTACAGACAGTTATGTTTTAAAAGTTTTATGTGTGTATGTCAGTCTACACTTCCTTCTTCTCCTTATGTGCAGTTCTCAATTGTGAGCCAAGACCTGAAAAATACACAACTGGCAGTTTTACATTAAAAGGGATTAACATGTTAAAAGCTGTACTGTAATATGTCTTTATTTTATTTAGGAAAACAGTGGGCAGCAACAAGTTGAGTCATCAAGCGATCATTCTCCTTACACATATCAACAAACCAAGTAATAATCTGGTATGGACATTTAATTTTTAAATTCAGTATGCGTTTTGATTTGATGGGTGTACTAGTTTAATTTGTGCCTCTTAAAGAAAGACTTCAGCTTTTAAACTTTTGCTGTTTAACTTTTTTTAATGCAAATTTCTCTCTATATGTAAAAGTCAATTGTCTTGATATTTGTGATATATTCTCTCTTAGATGCTCATTGATAACCCAGAAGAGACAAGAGAGAGACAAGGGGGAAGACTGAAACAATCATGGTTTCTTCTGATGTGCTTTAAGAGTTTATCTAAATTTTGCACAGGTTTTACAAACATTTACTTTTGTTTATAATAAAATCAACTGAAACTATTTTTGGTATAAGTTCTGAGGTGCATATAAATGCTTACTTTCATCAAAAGGATGCTAATTCTCTAAAATAGTTTTATTTTAATAAGAAAGAGTTTATTTTTAACAAGGAGTGTCACATCAACACAAGAACTCTGTACATGCAGAAAACCATGTGACATGACTAAAGGTGCATGACAGGAAAGATGTTTTTGTTATGTTTTTTTATGATTTGTGATGAAAATTACTTTTGTTTTCTATTGAGATTTTTTTTTTCTGAAGTTTTTCAGCCAGACATCTTTAAAATGATGTTTTGTGCTTGCTGTGTGAGTGTTGCTATGGTGAAGTGTTACATGTCATTTCTTGTTAGGTGTTTGTCTTTTTGGTCTAGATTGATCTGTTTTAAAATTTGCCTTAAATTTTTTCATACAATAGCTGTTTAGGCAACTCTTGATACAAGATAAGCAAGAATATGTTAAATACAAATGCCTTGTAAATCGGCAAAATAGGGCTTTTTTAGGAAACAACTAAATAGACTTTCTTTCAAATGCGTTTTAGATGTTTTTAAGTTTTTTTCCACTGATCTCGGCTGAATACTAATCAAAGTAGAACTTTTAGAATAGAAATGTTTTGAGTGAAACACATTTTCTGAATCTGATGAACTTTCTAATAGGATGTAATGTTTGTATAATCAGAAGGCTTGTGTTACTTCTGATTGTCTGAATGTGCTAGAATTTCTGAATGATTAAATTTAAACTCTTGGTTTTTTAACTAACTTGATGTTGTAGTTTTAGCAAAAACAAATCAGATTGGGGGAAGGGGAGGGATCAGGATTCTGAGGGAGGTAGGGGGGTACTCTGTCAGACTGGGAGTACTTTTTTTTCCTTTTGCTTTATAATAAAAATAAGTGGATTTATGATTGTGCAAAAATTAGCAAACAATGCTTTCCTTGGCAACCGAGGCAAATGTTTTTTTTTAGATTTAGGATAACTGAGAGATATAGGCAAAACCAATTTTAAAGAAAAACTAGCTCTTTGTAAGGATAAAAAACTTGGCACTTTCAATAAAGTTTACTTCACCAAAGAACTGTGAGCTAGGAATTGAATAAAAAAAAAAGTTAAGGTTTTCTCTCAGCATGTGCATCTTATGTAATCTACTTTTTTGCCGGACCAGTTTGCAGTTAGGAGAATGTGCCTTTTTTGTACATTTGCGTTTAGTTTTTTTCTAGTTTTATTGAGGTATGGACACAAAGAAGCATGAAGGAAGATTTGGATCCAAGCAGTGCCACACTCACTACACCATCACTACAAAGAAATGCAATATGTAAAATAAGAAAGAAATACGATTTGAAACTATGAACTGATTTACCACAATAATGATCTGCTTTTACATTGTAGAACCAGTCATTTTATGAATAAAGCTTTATTGTTTTAATCATTGTAGCTTAAAAAAGCTTTATAAATTAAGTTGTCTTCCAAGAGACTGTGTTTTGACCTGGTCAGCGACAATTGATCAGTTATCTACCTCAGAGTTTTGTTTCTCTTTTGTATTGGGACAGGTTTGCTGGACCTCCCTGTCCTCCCAGACCAAACTCTTCCAGCTCAGGAGCTGGTGATTTAACAGCTGTTTTCTTTCAATTTTTATCTTTTTATTTTCAAAACATTTTTTTAAAATTTTAATAGGAATATTGTATGTTGAACATGTTTAGTTGTGTCCAGACATTCAGTTTCATAGTTTCAAAAGTAACTGCTGCTTTCATTACTAGAGATTCCAGTAGTTGAAATCCTTCAAGAAACAAGACAAAGGTTGTGGTATTTACTGGATCTGTGCTCCTCGAAATTAATTGTTGCTTTGTCAGAGTCCAGACAGACCTGCAGCAGCTTTCACTGCGAATTGGTAGATTACCAAAGTTAAGACCTGTAAACAGACTTGAGATTTCCATATGTTGCCTAAGACTGAAACTTAGTACTGCTTAACACGTGTGCAGGTTGTGCTGCTAGTGGTGTCTGAACTAAGTGCCATACTCTGTCTGGGTTAGAGTTGGGAAAGTACTCTGTACATAAAGAAATGCTCATTTAATTAACATCACGTGCTAGACAGACATTAAGTTATATAAAGAAATAATTTATGAAGAGAGACCTTTTTGTACAGATTGAAGAAAAAGATTTTCATAGAGATGTCTATATGATCAAGAGTTAATTTTTTTATTTTTGTTTTACATGTGCCACAAACTTGCCAGTGGTAACTTGTATGTCCGGTTAAAGATACCTTTCTGTATTTTTGTTTTTTAGTACTTGTAAAAGCCAAAAAGACATTTTTGAACTGTAAATTTCATTAGATTGTTACTTAAGTTTTATTTCTTTTTCATTTCTTTGGAAACTTTTGAATAAAAACTTCAATTGGAAATAGTGTCTGAATAGATTTTCATTTGAAATGAAGCACCAATGAATAGAAGACGGTGGATTCTCATTGTAATCATCTCAGAAACTAAGAAACACACACTTGCCTTAAGACACTAGAATGAATATTATTATGGGAAAAATTGTTAGTGAAATTAGACTGAGTGGGTTGGAGCCCAATCCAAACAAGTTGTAGCTGAGTCATGCCTTCAGCCTGTGAGCCGTTTAGCTCATTCCTGACTGCCAGCTTGATCTGGACATCAGCGGGGGGTACTGTATCTCTGTATCTCAGCATTATGGAACTGATATTGATTTAGTTCACTGAGCTGAGCCCATCCTGCAGACTCTTTTTACAGCCCTAGCACAGTAGCACCCTTGGGGTAAGGCAAGACTACATTTGAAGGTCACGTATTTTGGAATGATGACAACCTGTTACCTGTTGGTTTTTAATTTTCATCTGAGCCGAAGAATTTCATTGTTACTTGAGATTTATTATCTGTGTGTTTTTCCAATCATCTATTGGATCCATACAATGCTCATGGTTAATCTTCCTCACAGTGCCCAGTGCTTTGCCCTCACCTGCTTTTATTAGTTTCAGCGCAGGAAGATGGGATTGTGAGAGAAATGGGTACCCTGCGTTACTCTCTCCCTGTGCTTTCTCTGAGTTGAGGTGTGCCTGGCAGGAGAGCGGTATGCTTAATACTTTCAATACGGCTGTATTTAAAAATTGGCGTTTTCCAATATCGTTAAAAACAAACTGCAGGGTGGCATAAACTGCATTTTTACGTTTACCACCAGAGGTCAGTGTTGACTCAGCTATGTCAGTAACTTAATCTCAAAACATTCTTCTTAGGGAGGTGCACACTGATAAATGCTTCATAACTCCTGTTACGTGGCCAAGTGTTAAAAAAAAAATCTGTCCTGGATTGCCAACTTCCTTAGTCAATTACGAACTTTACATTTTTATTGTTTGCTCTCTGTGCACTGTGGAAAGCCATTATTCTGGGAGAAGGAGTCTGGGCAGCAGGAAATTCAAGTACTATTTTGAGGATTGACATCGGATCCCATTTTGACATAAATCTGTCTGCTGTGTGTTCTGTAATATACAGACTATAAATGACTCCCTGATCTGGATGTTACGGAAACACTCTGCAGAGAAATGCACAATTCATCCTCTGTGTTACACACAGATTGCTGGCTTTGTATAAAGGGATTTCTTGTTCACATTAGTATCTCTAAGTTGCAGCTCAGCTACAAAGGCTGTTCAAGCTGTCACAACATGTGAATGCCTTTGTGTTTGTGGTATATCTGTTCGACAAAAATCCTAACACATTGCTTACTTAAATTGCTTAACCTCAGTACCTAGAGATTGTAAATGTCAACATAAAATACATTTTTTCATGAGTACTTTCTTTTTCCTTCATTTGACTAGCACTTTTAACCTAAGCAATTTATGATTGCTTTGGGTATATTTTTAATTCACATTTACAGGTAAATAGAAAACCAAACTTATAGTACTGAACTGATAAGTAGTCTTAACTGCATTATGCAGATTGACTGCCAATGCATTTCTTGCAACATCATTTTAATTTTAATCTAGAGTTGTGTGTCTGACCTCATCCAGCTCACTGACTAATATAGAACATAAATGTTAAATGTCAAAAGTCGTTGAAAGTCCAAGAAAACCTGGAGAGTAATTGGAGACAAATGATCCATTTGGTTTTTCAGAAAATGAGTTTCTGAGGAATTTCCAGATTTTGCATCTATTGCAAACTGAAGTTATTCACTTAATTTTAGTTTTTAATGAATCTACATTTTTGGAATTCAATGTATTTTCAGCCCATACAAAAACTGGGGAAAATGCTTTTTACAGTGGATAGCAACTAGGTTTCATACAAATGCAATGTTAATGATCCAGTTTCTCAAATGGTATTTAACAAAAGGTTAAGAAGAGGTCATTTATACAGCTAGACAAGTTAATGCTAAACACTAAAGTCCTTAACTAAGCTATCCCTAAAAGTCATCAGCTTGTTCCATTGCAATTAGAATGAGTGGGTTCTAATTGCAATGGAACAAATCAAAACAAATCGCTTAACATAGTTCTATCAAAGAATATATGCAGAACCCTGATCACAAGCTTAAGTATAACTCCTGTCTTCGCTCAAGCACAAAACCTAACTCAAACTCTTACGTACAGCCTTTAACTGAGTTCCAGCACTAAGACTAACCTTGAGTATCATATGCTTAACCTTTTCTCAGCTCTAATCCAGCACTAAACCTAAATACAGCCTTTATTATATATCCAAACTTAACCCTACGCATCAACCTTATGATCTCTTCAACCGTAACCATCATCCTAAATCTGAATTTAAATGTACCCTATATACAAACATTACGATAGCTACAGCACTTGGCCTAAGCATACCTGTACAGGTAGCGTCAACACTAAATATGATCTTTATCATAATTATAACTCTTACATTTAACCCCCCAAAAATTAAGATCATGATATAATTCATTTTTTCTAAACCTAACTGTAACTGTAATCATAACCATACTGTTTGTTCTGACTTAAGGCCTGTTCTTAATACTATTTAAAGCCCTTTCTTTAGCAAAACTCCTCTAAAAAAATAAAAGTTTTAAAGTGTTGGACAGAGAATAAGTGTAAGGTCAAAACAATTTTTAAAGTTAGAAAGTATAATGTGGAGTTCAAATTAGCATTAAGGTATGGATTAAAAGGTGAGTAACTGGGTAAGGGTTAGGATTAGTGTTAAAGTTATAGTTCACATTAGAGTTAGGATTATTAGGTTCAGACTCCAACCTTCCAGGAAAGACGATACACAGATAATTAGGGCAGATGGCACTGGCTCACACTACTTTAGATTTTAAATTAGGCCCACGTATTTTCAATTCCAGCACCCTTTTCCTTGAGGGAATCCATAGGGACTTTTTAAAGCATATATGAGCTAATTCAGTTCACCTTATGACATTGCCACAGCATTTTATGTTTGATTTTAACCGTTGCAGCTATCTTTATTAACTCCCATCTGGGAATAAATTGTACATAGACCATTGACTCTTGGAATAGATAAGTTAGTAAACATACTTCCCAATACTCAGAATGTTCTGTGAACTTTCACATCATTGTTGGAAATTGAAATTGCTGCAATCGTAATAATAAATGTATTGTTTTCACAGGTCACAAAAAATTGCAAAATGTGTTTCCTGAATGTTTCAAAACTCATCTAGAAGTCAGGTGATTCTTATTTTTAATTAAGCTTTTATTTCTTTTCAGTACGGATTCACTTCCAAGAATCCATAGGTCACTAATCGGGATGGGATCGGCACACTGTCTGGTCGGTTCAACTGGTGTTGTTTCGGAAGATAACTTGTCATTAAATCTTGTCATGTGGAGCTCTTGTTGCCCCACCAGGTGGGTACCATACCTGATAATTTAACACACACTGTTTAGAAATCCCCCAAAAAAGGAAGGGTTCTTATCAAACTTATAAAAGGCTTGCTTGGCTTTTATATCCACTTCCTCCTTGCCCCGCCTCTCTGCTGCCCTGGCTTCTCCTAATGAGGGGGTGTGGTTCTGTATTGGGCCATTTCCAGGGAATCACCCCAGCCAGACAAGCTCAGCCTCGAAAAGAAGCTCAGAGTTGAGCGGAACAGAGCAGAGCCAAAGACCAAAGATGCTACGTTAAAATACAATGACAAGAGCAAACTCAGCCACCTCACTGAATGATTTTATTCAGTATCTGTAGGAATAGAACTGATACTGTATATCGCAGCATTTGGCTCTTTTTCTCCTATTTAAAAAAATACATTTTCCCTGGAGAGTGAACATCTAGATTCAGCACAAACAGCAGCATGTCTTAGTTCATGAATGAGCTATTCAGCTCCATCACAACACCATGAAGAAATTTATACCTAATCACGGAAATTACAATTTAAGGGGCTTGTTTCTGAGGCTGGGGGCCTAAGCTTCCTGAGGAGGCTCATTACCGCTGTCTGTTTTGGAATATAGATTATTTTAGTCTGTTAAAAAGAGCATAAGAATGCTTAAAAATGTGGAGGCCATTTCATTCTTTTAGCTGCTTGGTATCGATCTGAAAATTTATTCAAGTCTCTTTGTAAAAGAAGCTAGGGTTTTGGCTTCAACAACATGGTTGGTTAGCTTGTTCCATCCTCCCACAACCTTGTGTCTCAGAGAACATCGTCTCAGAGTTGGTTTCACTCTCAAAAAAAGATACACAGGCATAACTTTTCCATGTGTCATCCTTGAACAGTTGCACATTTGCCTGTCAATCTAAATTTAACCTATTATACTGCTACTAATGAATGTGAAGCATTTTTTGTATCAGGCAAGCAGTTGCTACCATCATTCAATACTGCAACATGCTTTGTATCTTAAATGGAAGAAGAATAAAAACGTCATGGTCTCTAATGCAGTTTGCTACTTTGGTTTAATGTTACTTTGTGGAAGAGGAGCTATGAAGCACATTGTTTTTTTCTCACTGGCTTGGTGGAATTGTTTGCTTTTGACAGTATGATATCACAGTCATCTGCTTTTGGTAAGTTCTATGCTTTGAAGCTTTTACATCTTTAATTTCAGAATGGGGATTGGGCAACACAACACAATAGCAAGATATTGTTTAAATGTATAATTTTGAAACTAAAGCAAAATGAGTATTAAGATCTAGAATGCTAACTTTAGTTGTTTTGTTGTGGTAAACCCTACACCAGTCAATACCAGTTTATTTAAAAGCAAATCTAAGATTACAGTAATTCTGTTGAAGCAGAAGATATCTACTAAAACCTTAGTAGGCCTTTCATTTCTATCTGTGGTTGTCAGGGAGGGGGCATGAGTTTCTTTTCTGTCACTTATGTTTACTGTTCAGATTCCTTGGTACAATTGAGTAATTAGTAGAAAACAGTCACTTTTTCATTCAGGCAGTAACACAATGCTCAGGGAGCAGGAGGAGAACAGCACACTATCACAGC